ACATATCCAAGGTAGTCTACGTACATTTGCCCTGGACACGTATCCCAGGTTGTCTACGTACATTAGACCGTGACACGTATCCCAGGTTGTCTACGTACATTAGACTTTGATACGTATCCCAGGTTGTCTACGTACATTAGACCGTGATACGTATCCCAGGTTGTCTACGTACATTAGACCGTGACACACATCCCAGGTTGTCTACGTACATTAGACCGTGACACGTATCCCAGGTTGTCGACGAACATTAGACCGTGACACACATCCCAGGTTGTCTACGTACATTAGACCTTGATACGTATCCCAGGTTGTCTATGTACATTAGACCGTGACACGTATCCCAGGTTGTCGACGTACCTTAGCCCGTGACACGTATCCCAGGTTGTCTACGTACATTAGACCGTGACACACATCCCAGGTTGTCTACGTACATTAGACCTTGATACGTATCCAAGGTTGTCGACGTACATTAGCCCGTGACACGTATCCCAGGTTGTCTACGTACATTAGACTTTGATACGTATCCCAGGTTGTCTACGTACATTAGACCGTGATACGTATCCCAGGTTGTCTACGTACATTAGACCGTGACACACATCCCAGGTTGTCTACGTACATTAGACCGTGACACGTATCCCAGGTTGTCGACGAACATTAGACCGTGACACACATCCCAGGTTGTCTACGTACATTAGACCTTGATACGTATCCCAGGTTGTCTATGTACATTAGACCGTGACACGTATCCCAGGTTGTCGACGTACCTTAGCCCGTGACACGTATCCCAGGTTGTCTACGTACATTAGACCGTGACACACATCCCAGGTTGTCTACGTACATTAGACCTTGATACGTATCCAAGGTTGTCGACGTACATTAGCCCGTGACACGTATCCCAGGTTGTCTACGTACATTAGACTTTGATACGTATCCCAGGTTGTCTACGTACATTAGACCGTGATACGTATCCCAGGTTGTCTACGTACATTAGACCGTGACACACATCCCAGGTTGTCTACGTACATTAGACCGTGACACGTATCCCAGGTTGTCGACGAACATTAGACCGTGACACACATCCCAGGTTGTCTACGTACATTAGACCTTGATACGTATCCCAGGTTGTCTATGTACATTAGACCGTGACACGTATCCCAGGTTGTCGACGTACCTTAGCCCGTGACACGTATCCCAGGTTGTCTACGTACATTAGACCGTGACACACATCCCAGGTTGTCTACGTACATTAGACCGTGACACACATCCCAGGTTGTCTACGTACATTAGACCATGACACGTATCCCAGGTTGTCTACGTACATTAGACCGTGACACACATCCCAGGTTGTCTACGTACCTTAGACCGTGATACTTATCCCAGGTTGTCTACGTACATTAGACCGCGATACGTATCCCTTGTAGTATACGTACATTAGACCGTGATACGTATCCCAGGTTGTCTACGTACATTAGACCGTGACACACATCCCAGGTTGTCTACGTACATTAGACCATGACACGTATCCCAGGTTGTCTACGTACATTAGACCGTGACACACATCCCAGGTTGTCTACGTACATTAGACCGTGACACGTATCCCAGGTTGTCGACGTACATTAGACCGTGACACACATCCCAGGTTGTCTACGTACATTAGACCGTGACACGTATCCCAGGTTGTCTACGTACATTAGACCGTGACACGTATCCCAGGTTGTCTACGTACATTAGGCCGTGATACGTATCCTAGGTTGTCTACGTACATTAGACTGTGACACGTATTCCAGTTTGTCTACGTACATTAGACCGTGACACGTATCCCAGGTTGTCTACGTACCTTAGACCGTGATACGTATCCCAGGTTGTCTACGTACATTAGACCGCGATACGTATCCCTTGTAGTATACGTACATTAGACCGTGATACGTATCCCAGGTTGTCTACATACATTAGACCGTGACACATATCCCAGGTTGTCTACGTACATTAGACCGTGACACGTATCCCATATTGTCTACGTACATTAGACCGCGATACGTATCCCTTGTAGTATACGTACATTAGATCGTGACACGTATCACTGGCAGTCTACGCACATTAGCCCGTGAAAGGTATCCATTGAAATCTACGTACAATAGCCCGTGACACGTATCACTGGCAGTCTACGTACATTAGCCCGTGACACGTATCACTGGCAGTCTACGCACATTAGCCCGTGAAAGGTATCCATTGAAATCTACGTACAATAGCCCGTGACACGTATCACTGGCAGTCTACGTACATTAGCCCGTGACACGTATCACTGGCAGTCTACGCACATTAGCCCGTGAAAGGTATCCATTGAAATCTACGTACAATAGCCCGTGACACGTATCACTGGCAGTCTACGTACAATAGCCCGTGACACGTATCACTGGCAGTCTACGTACAATAGCCCGTGACACGTATCACTGGCAGTCTATGTACAATAGCCCGTGACACGTATCACTGGCAGTCTACGTACATTAGCCCTTGACACGTATCACTGGCAGTCTACGTACATTAGCCCTTGACACGTATCCCTGGTAGTCGATGTTGTTCGCCTTCTCCTCCTGGCAGTCTACGTACATTAGCCCGTGACACGTATCACTGGCAGTCTACGTACATTAGCCCGTGACACGTATCACTGGCAGTCTACGTACATTAGCCCTTGACACGTATCACTGGCAGTCTACGTACATTAGCCCGTGACACGTATCACTGGCAGTCTACGTACATTAGCCCGTGACACGTATCACTGGCAGTCTACGTACATTAGCCCTTGACACGTATCCCTGGTAGTCGATGTTGTTCGCCTTCTCCTCCTGGCAGTCTACGTACATTAGCCCGTGACACGTATCACTGGCAGTCTACGTACATTAGCCCGTGACACGTATCACTGGCAGTCTACGTACATTAGCCCGTGACACGTATCACTGGCAGTCTACGTACATTAGCCCGTGACACGTATCACTGGCAGTCTACGTACATTAGCCCTTGACACGTATCACTGGCAGTCTACGTACATTAGCCCTTGACACGTATCACTGGCAGTCTACGTACATTAGCCCGTGACACGTATCACTGGCAGTCTACGTACATTAGCCCTTGACACGTATCACTGGCAGTCTACGTACATTAGCCCGTGACACGTATCACTGGCAGTCTACGTACATTAGCCCGTGACACGTATCACTGGCAGTCTACGTACATTAGCCCGTGACACGTATCACTGGCAGTCTACGTACATTAGCCCTTGACACGTATCCCTGGTAGTCGATGTTGTTCGCCTTCTCCTCCTGGCAGTCTACGTACATTAGCCCGTGACACGTATCACTGGCAGTCTACGTACATTAGCCCGTGACACGTATCACTGGCAGTCTACGTACATTAGCCCGTGACACGTATCACTGGCAGTCTACGTACATTAGCCCGTGACACGTATCACTGGCAGTCTACGTACAATAGCCCGTGACACGTATCACTGGCAGTCTACGTACATTAGCCCGTGACACGTATCACTGGCAGTCTACGTACATTAGCCCGTGACACGTATCACTGGCAGTCTACGTACATTAGCCCTTGACACGTATCACTGGCAGTCTACGCACATTAGCCCGTGAAAGGTATCCATTGAAATCTACGTACAATAGCCCGTGACACGTATCACTGGCAGTCTACGTACATTAGCCCTTGACACGTATCCCTGGTAGTCGATGTTGTTCGCCTTCTCCTCCTGGCAGTCTACGTACATTAGCCCGTGACACGTATCACTGGCAGTCTACGTACATTAGCCCGTGACACGTAACACTGGCAGTCTACGTACATTAGCCCGTGACACGTATCACTGGCAGTCTACGTACATTAGCCCTTGACACGTATCACTGGCAGTCTACGTACATTAGCCCTTGACACGTATCCCTGGTAGTCGATGTTGTTCGCCTTCTCCTCCTGGCAGTCTACGTACATTAGCCCGTGACACGTATCACTGGCAGTCTACGTACATTAGCCCGTGACACGTATCACTGGCAGTCTACGTACATTAGCCCGTGACACGTATCACTGGCAGTCTACGTACATTAGCCCGTGACACGTATCACTGGCAGTCTACGTACATTAGCCCTTGACACGTATCCCTGGTAGTCGATGTTGTTCGCCTTCTCCTCCTGGCAGTCTACGTACATTAGCCCGTGACACGTATCACTGGCAGTCTACGTACATTAGCCCTTGACACGTATCACTGGCAGTCTACGTACATTAGCCCGTGACACGTATCACTGGCAGTCTACGTACATTAGCCCGTGACACGTATCACTGGCAGTCTACGTACATTAGCCCGTGACACGTATCACTGGCAGTCTACGTACATTAGCCCGTGACACGTATCACTGGCAGTCTACGTACATTAGCCCTTGACACGTATCCCTGGTAGTCGATGTTGTTCGCCTTCTCCTCCTGGCAGTCTACGTACATTAGCCCGTGACACGTATCACTGGCAGTCTACGTACATTAGCCCGTGACACGTATCACTGGCAGTCTACGTACATTAGCCCGTGACACGTATCACTGGCAGTCTACGTACATTAGCCCGTGACACGTATCACTGGCAGTCTACGTACATTAGCCCGTGACACGTATCACTGGCAGTCTACGTACATTAGCCCTTGACACGTATCCCTGGTAGTCGATGTTGTTCGCCTTCTCCTCCTGGCAGTCTACGTACATTAGCCCGTGACACGTATCACTGGCAGTCTACGTACATTAGCCCGTGACACGTATCACTGGCAGTCTACGTACATTAGCCCGTGACACGTATCACTGGCAGTCTACGTACATTAGCCCGTGACACGTATCACTGGCAGTCTACGTACATTAGCCCGTGACACGTATCACTGGCAGTCTACGCACATTAGCCCGTGAAAGGTATCCATTGAAATCTACGTACAATAGCCCGTGACACGTATCACTGGCAGTCTACGTACATTAGCCCTTGACACGTATCCCTGGTAGTCGATGTTGTTCGCCTTCTCCTCCTGGTAGTATTGAACCCAGCTGTGGAACCCGCTCACCCCATTCTTGTACTCCCCAACCATCACGTGTTCAAACCCGGAACTGTCAGTCGGCCCCGAGCTGGAGCGCTGATATAGGTTAAACCATAGCTCATTCAGGACGTCCCGGAAGTCCGCCTCTCCAGTTGTCTTACCTGTTGAAAGTGTTTACGACCGTTAGTAAATCCAGAGGTACAACATGACAGTTCAACATGGTAAGCCGATGTTATTTTCAATTCAATATTTCAACAACAAAAAATCCATAAGAACGCGAAATCAATGGCCTCATTCCTCAAAGGAATCTTAGCACTAAGACAATGGTTATTCTCATACTGTAACCTAGACCTACGATAGTTAAAGCGCTAAGATGGCTTTCAGGAACATAGACCAGTCTCATCCTTGGTTGCAATTCGCGTCTGGTGTGAACATTCTGGGTACCCATCTTGCGGACAGCTTGCTCGCTGCTCATTTGGAGTGTGTTGAGATCAACTGTACTGACCCAATAGTGTCAGCGATATACTGCATTAATACGTCGGTCAGCCATGACCGTGGGGTGGACATCCTCTTCTTGAGTTTCAGACGTGTCATCTTTAGGATGACCAAACCTTGAGTAGTCTTCTGTCCAACTTTTGTCTCACTTCAATTCAGAAGCCCATTTCTTAACAGTTGAATATGAGGTTTCAAAAAGTGTGGTAAGAACATTGTCTCTCTCGGAAAACATACATGGGACATCAAGTATACAGACTGATAACTGCATCTGTATTTGAAGAGTCAACTAGACAATTTAACACGTGAGGGAAACTGCGAAGAAACAAGCTGGGATTAAGTACCTGAACATAAAAGGCTTGTCACCAAAGGAAATACACGAAGTCATAAACTATAAAACGTCAACGCTAATGTCAGTCTCGATTATCTCGCGAAACAGATTCTATCAGGCGTAAAAGTAATAGTGATGAAAATTGTATGAATGGAACACTGAAAATCAGTGACGACCCCAGGCGTTCGCGGAAAGGGAATGCGTGTCCTGCTCTTCCGGCAGCATCCGCCACTCACACACTTCCGGATAACTACACATGATCACATTACATAAAGCAATACTAGCATCTATAAGCCAATGGACTGTTGGATTTACCAATCTTACGATTGCTGTGATATAGCTAACGCCAGCATAAAATGACGTCCTTGAAACTAACCCCGGAGTACTCTTTGACTTGCACTGGTTGATTGCATGTCTTTGTACAAGACGGCGTGGGACGTTGCTCAAGTATCTTCTATCGGTATAACTGGAATATCGCTGAATGTGGCGTTAAAATCAACTCTTACGTTAAGTTATATTGCCATATGTGTAGAAAATAAAGTAACCTTCATTAAGCAAATAGTTGTAGGCCTTTTGCATCACTGAAGTGGCGAGGACAGCGTCAAGGAAGCTGTTTATCTCCGCCCACTGCGCGCTGGTCAGCGACTCTGATTGGCCGATGTTTGGGTTGTAGTTGTCCAATAGGGGGAGTAGGAGGGCAAATGTAGGACGGGAGGTAAAGATGGCCTCATTCACATACGAGAAGAACCTGAGTGGAAAGGGACAACAAGCAAATAGTTTAGTTTATTGAGAGTAAGAATATAAACTGTCGGGCAAAAGAAGGTATGCCCTTTATATATTGGATTTGACCATAACAATATTAAAACATTAGTAGTCTGAAAATTTAAGGTAAAAAACACAACTATGAAACCCGTATCAAATACATGACTGTCGAATAACCAAAACAAGACTTACGAAGAATCAGAGAAACCAGGCTTTAGGACGAGTGCATGCTGTTGGTGACCTGGGCCCCGTTCCACAAACCGATCTTAGCGCAAAGATGATCGTAACTCCAATACTTTAACACAGGCGTACGACAATCATAGCACCAAGATCGCTTTTTGGAACGGGACCCTGGTGTCGTCACTGTAATCTGTGGGTGGTTCTCGCGTGAACATTAAGAGCACTGGCATCCATTCGTGCAGTCTGGCCAGCACGCGGTCGTCCTGAAGCCTGGTTTCTCTGAATCTTTGTAAGACTTGGCATGGCGCTAGTATCGATACAACAATGTTGGATCCACGTATTAGGGTGCCGTTTGTAAGAAAAGGCACACGGAAACGCAAGTGAATTTATTTAGATTTTCATGGAATTCATTCGGGACTTTGTACCATGGTCGTTTGTCCAGCTGCGTTTGAGCGACCCATCATATCCATACTTTTGTCACTTTTTGAACGTTAATATCAAATTTGAATACAGCTGTAACCGACGGAGACACTCATCCACCCGCCCATTGAGCTGTAACTGACGGAGATACCTATCCGCCCGCCCATTCAGCTGTAACTGACGGAGACATTGATCCACCCGTTCAGCTGTGACTGACAGAGATACTGATCTACCCGCCCATTCAGCTGTAACTGACGGAGACATTGATCTACCCGTTCAGCTGTGACTGACGGAGACACTGATCCATCCAACCAATACAGCTGTGACTGACGGAGACACTGATCCATCCATCAATACAGCTGTGACAGAGGAGACAATTCAGCTGTTAGGAAGACACTGATCCGCCCAACCCATTCAGCTGTAATTGACGGAGACACTGATCAGTGGGTCTTGAACACTTACGGTTCGGCTGCACTGTCGCCGGTGTTGCCGGAGCTGACCTGTCCCTGGTAGTTGACGTTGTAGTCTGTGACGGAGACGCGGTTCACGTCGAGATTCCATAGCTGATCCGCAACACTGGACAGGGTCTCACCCCCTGCATCACCTGCAATGGACGCGAATAAGGAGTTCTGTTTTGATTTACGTGTCAATGTATCTAGTAGAAGGGCATGTTTCAAAATAAATATATAAACGAAGCATCGCCTTTAACATATTATTAAATGTTAAATGCCTACCCTGGAAATGTTCGTAACTAGATAATACTATTCGTATGTCAAATGGGATGAATTTAAAAATAGATAAGTATCCCTTTAATTCGTCGGAGTATCAGATATTTGAAACTTTTTTACCAAATTGTAAAAGCATTTAAAATTTAAAACTGTTGTTGTTAGGGCTACATAATCAGTGTGTAAGTAGATACATCCGAGTGTAGATACGTACCCCCTGCAGACAGACTGTCGTAGTCAGGGCTACACCCACAGTATGTAGGTAGGTATATCCGGGGATAAATACGTACCTCCTGCACAGAGACTGTCGTAGTCAGGGCAGCAGTCGCCGTAGCTGACACACGCCGAGTTACACTGGCAGGGTTTAGAGTTGTCCACCCCGGCGTTACATCGACCGGAACATGTCGCTTGAAGGGTAGAAGGCAATGACTGAGTGACTACGCTTTTACGCCGCTTTTAGCAATACTCCAGCAATATCACGGTGGGGACACCAAAAATGGGCTTCACACATAGTACCTATGTTGGAAATTAAACCCGGGCCTTCGATGTGCCGAGCGAAAGCTATAACAACAAGGCTACCCCACCACCAAAGAAAACAATGTGGAGTATTTAATGGGGTATGGTCTTTAAAATGTTCGTAGCTGAATTGTTATCAAGGACCGGTACAATGGTCGTGTGTTTGATGTGAACCGAACGATAGTTATGAACTCATGAGCAATGTATACATACCAGCAACACACACCGACTGGTAATCGTCACAACAGTCGCCAAAGGTGATGCATTGACTGTTGCACTGACACGGGAGGGTAGGGTCCAGCGCCTGGCCACACCTTCCCTCGCAGCTCTCTATAACATACACACATGAGGCACCGTGGTTGCTGTCCAATCGACACTGTGGTTATATATGCTTTTCATCATAGGTTATAAAACTGGCGCCACATGTATGTTTAACCTATGGCGCCAGTTATATAAAACCAGAAGGTTATATACTTGACACTTTAAGGAAGAGAATTTATGGATGTCAACTTCTCTATTTATGACTAACTCAACCTTTCGGAGTATATACTTACTCCTTCACCTGATGAAGGAGTAGTAGGTGAGTGAGTATTGTTTTCGCCGCTTTTAGCAATATTCCAGCAATATCACGGCGGGGGACATTAAAAATGGGCTCAACAAATTATACCCATAAAAATAAAACCCGGACCGTCACTGTCATCCGCACTCAGAACCGTCTATGAAACAGTACACACGTGATTCACTGTCACCCACACTCACGTCCGTCGAGGAAACAGTACACACGTGATTCACTGTCACCCACACTCATGTCTGTCTATGAAACAGTACACACGTGATTCACTGTCACCCACACTCACGTCCGTCGAGGAAACAGTACACACGTGATTCACTGTCACCCACACTCATGTCTGTCTATGAAACAGTACACACGTGATTCACTGTCATCCACACTCACGTCCGTCAAGGAAACAGTACAAACGTGATTCACTGTCATCCACACTCACGTCCGTCTAGGAAACAGTACACACGTGATTCACTGTCATCCACACTCATATGTCCGTCTAGGAAACATTTCACACGTGATTCACTGTCATCCACACTCATATGTCCGTCTAGGAAACAGTACACACGTGATTCATTGTCACCCACACTCATATGTCCGTCGAGGAAACAGTACACACGTGATTCACTGTCATCCACACTCACGTCCGTCTAGGAAACAGTACACACGTGATTTACTGTCATCCTCACTCATGTCCGTCAATGAAACAGTACACGCGTGATTCACTGTCATCCACACTCATGTCCGTCCATGAAACAGTACACACGTGATTCACTGTCATCCACACTCACGTCCGTCTAAGAAACAGTACACACGTGATTCACTGTCATGCAAACTTACGTCCGTCAAGGAAACAGTACACACGTGATTCACTGTCATCCACACTCACGTCCGTCTAGGAAACAGTACACACGTAAATCACTGTAACCCACACTCATGTCCGTCTCGGAAACAGTTCACACGTGATTCACTGTCACCCACACTCACGTCCGTCTAGAAAACAATACACACCTGATTCACTGTCACCCACACTCACGTCCGTCTAAGAAACAGTACACACGTGATTCACTGTCACCCACACTCACGTCCGTCTAGGAAACAGTACACACGTAATACACTGTCACCCACACTCATGTCCGTCTATGAAACAGTACACACGTGATTCACTGTCACCCACACTCATGTCTGTCTGTGAAACAGTACACACGTGATTCAGTGTCATCCACACTCACACCAATATATGAAACAGTACACACGTGATTCACTGTCATGCAAACTCACGTCCGTCTATGAAACAGTACACACGTGATTCACTGTCACCCACACTCACGTCCGTCTAGGAAACAGTACACACGTAATACACTGTCATCCACACTCACGTCCGTCTATGAAACAGTACACACGTGATTCAGTGTCATCCACACTCACACCCGTATATGAAACAGTACATACATGATTCACTGTCACCCTCACTCACGTCCGTATATGAAACAGTACACACATGATTCACTGTCATCCCCACTCACGTCCGTCTAAGAAACAGTACACACGTGATTCACTGTCACCCACACTCACGTCCGTCTATGAAACAGTACACGCTTGATTCACTGTCATGCACACTCACGTCAGTCTAGGAAACAGTACACACGTGATTCACTGTCACCCACACTCATGTCCGTCTAGCAAACCGTACACACGTGATTCACTGTCATCCACACTCACGTCCGTCTAAGAAACAGTACACACGTGATTCACTGTCATGCACACTTACGTCCGTCTAGGAAACAGTACATACGTCATTCACTGTCATCCACACTCACGTCCGTCTAGGAAACAGTACACACGTGATTCACTGTCATGCACACTTATGTCCGTCTAAGAAACAGTACACACGTGATTCACTGTCATCCACACTCACGTCCGTCTAAGAAACAGTACACACGTGATTCACTGTCATCCACACTCACGTCCGTCTAGGAAACAGTACACACGTAAATCACTGTAACCCACACTCACGTCCGTCTAGGAAACAGTTCACACGTAAATCATTGTAACCCACACTCAAGTCCGTCTAGGAAACAGTTCACACGTGATTCACTGTCATCCACACTCACGTCCGTCTAGGAAACAGTACACACGTGATTCACTGTCATCAACACTCATGTCCGTCTAGGAAACAGTACACACGTGATTCACTGTCATCCACACTCACGTCCGTCTAGGAAACAGTACACACGTGATTTACTGTCATCCTCACTCATGTCCGTCTAGGAAACAGTACACGCGTGATTCACTGTCATCCACACTCATGTCCGTCCATGAAACAGTACACACGTGATTCACTGTCATCCACACTCACGTCCGTCTAAGAAACAGTACACACGTGATTCAGTGTCATGCAAACTTACGTCCGTCAAGGAAACAGTACACACGTGATTCACTGTCATGCACACTCACGTCCGTCTAGGAAACAGTACACACGTAAATCACTGTAACCCACACTCATGTCCGTCTCGGAAACAGTTCACACGTGATTCACTGTCACCCACACTCACGTCCGTCTAGAAAACAATACACACCTGATTCACTGTCACCCACACTCACGTCCGTCTAAGAAACAGTACACACGTGATTCACTGTCATCCACACTCACACCCGTCTATGAAACAGTACACACGTGATTCACTGTCACCCACACTCACGTCCGTCTAGAAAACAATACACACCTGATTCACTGTCACCCACACTCACGTCCGTCTAAGAAACAGTACACACGTGATTCACTGTCATCCACACTCACACCCGTCTATGAAACAGTACACACGTGATTCACTGTCACCCACACTCACGTCCGTCTATGAAACAGTACACACGTGATTCACTATCACCCACACTCACGTCCGTCTATGAAACAGTACACGCTTGATTCACTGTCATCCACACTCACACCCGTCTATGAAACAGTACACGCTTGATTCACTGTCATGCAAACTCACGTCCGTCTATGAAAGATTACACACGTGATTCACTGTCATCCACACTCACACCCGTCTATGAAACAGTTCACGCGTGATTCACTGTCATCCACACTCACACCCGTCTATGAAACATTACACACGTGATTCACTGTCACCCACACTCATGTCCGTCTATGAAACAGTACACGCTTGATTCACTGTCATGCACACTCACGTCAGTCTAGGAAACAGTTCACGGGTGATTCACTGCCATCCACACTCACACCCGTCTATGAAACAGTTCACGCGTGATTCACTGTCATCCACACTCACACCCGTATATGAAACATTACACACGTTATTCACTGTCATGCACACTCACACCCGTCTATGAAACAGTTCACGCGTGATTCACTGTCATCCACACTCACACCCGTCTATGAAACATTACACACGTGATCCATTGTCATGCACACTCACGTCCGTCTTGGAAACAATACACACGTGATTCACTGTCACCCATACACAGAACCGTCTAGGAAACAGAACACACGTGATTCACTGTCACCCACACACAGAACCGTCTAGGAAACAGTACACACGTGATTCACTGTCACCCACACACAGAACCGTCTATGAAACAGTACAGACTTGATTCACTGTCACCCACACTCACACCCGTCTATGAAACAGTACACATGTGATTCACTGTCACCCACACTCATGTCCGTCTATGAAACAGTACACACTTGATTCACTGTCACCCAGACACAGAACCGTCTATGAAACGGTACACACGTAATTCACTGTCATGCACACTCATGTCCGTCTAGGAAACAGTTCACGCGTGATTTACTGTCATCCACACTCACGTCCGTCTAGGAAACAGTACACACGTGATTCACTGTCATCCACACTCATGTCCGTCTATGAAACAGTACACACGTGATTCACTGTCACCCACACTCATGTCCGTCTATGAAACTGTACACGCGTGATTCACTGTCACCCACACACAGAACCGTCTATGAAACATTACACGCGTGATTCACTGTCACCCACACTCATGTCCGTCTATGAAACAGTACACACGTGATTCACTGTCACCCACATTCATGTCCGTCTATGAAACAGTTCACACGTGATTCACTGTCATCCACACTCATGTCCGTCTAGGAAACAGTACACACGTGATTCACTGTCATCCACACTCATGTCCGTCTATGAAACAGTACACACGTGATTCTGTGCTATCCACACTCGTGGGTTTCACCAAAGTGTTGAAACCTATTAGATCTGACACATCATGATATAGATAGAATACCGTGAAGATCCGGGGTAGCATAGGTCTTCAACAACCCATGCTTGCCGTAAAAAGTGACTATGCTTGTCGTAAGAGGTGACTAACGGGATCGGGTGGTCAGACTCGCAGACATGGCTGATGCATGTCATCCTTCCCAATTGGATGGATCGATGCTCATAATGTCAATCACTGGATTGTCTGGTCAAGACTCGATTATTTAAAGACCGCCGTCATAAAGCTGGAATATTACTGAGTGCGGCGTTAAACACCAAACAACAAGAAACAAAGCAGCGCGTCTTTGTGTGGCTTTTTATACAGTAACTTCGTTCCTCAAAACGCCGCTTAAACACGTACAGTGGTGTCAGTAGCCAGTGATGCAGAACATAGGTTGCGTTTTCGCATGCTGGGAAGCTGTTGGACGAAGGCCCCGTTTTGGAATATGACGTTGTAACCAGACGCAGCCTCTGTATAGCAATGGTGGTCTACTGATAGAACTTTAAACAGTTGCACTTATTGTACAGTAGTTAGCTATGTGTAAACTTACCTTGAGCCGAGGTCACTGTGAACAGAACACAGAAGATGACAATCAGAGTTACCATTTTGACACGTGGAAGGAACCTACGTTCTCATCAAGGGATGCGGCAAAACGAACTTTTAAAGGAACGATATTTATACATCGACTGGGTATTAAATACCCATGTTTAAATTAGGCTGAAAGATTGACTAGCCCTAAACCTGAATAAGTTATGGTTGGAACTATCTGTGATATTTTGTTTTTGACATATTTATTGAACACACATTTATTGGTTTTGCCAGTCAGCGTTTGTGGTAATTTATTGTGTATTGTATTGTGAAGCATATGTGGACTGTTCTGAATTATTGGGTTCATTGTTCTCAAAATGGGTGAGTCTGTTAGAGGACAAATACCATAGGCGAAGTGACATAGATTACACGGGTGTTATTCAGTGTAATGAGCCGACTCGATGCAATAACATTTATGACTGAATCATTATACAGTTAGGAATAATGCTTGTGTCCTATATTGTCCATTGAGTTTCTTCCTTCCTAATATCATTTGACCACGATGACGGACGACTTGCTACGACGTGTTCCTTTCATGCCAGGAACCCGTGCAGATCCGGGGTAGAATAGGTCTTCAGCAACCCATGCGTGCCGTAAAAGGCGACTATGCTTGTCGTAAGAGCCGACTAACAGACTCGGGTGGTCAGGCACGCTGACTTGGTTGATGCTTGTCCATGGATCCATAATGCGTGGATCGATGGTCATGATGTCAATCACTGGATTGTCTAGTCGAGACTCGATTATTTACAGACCGCCATCATATAGCTGGAATATTGCTGAGTGGGGTGTAAAACAACAAACAAACAAACAAACAAACAACAAAATAAATTTTCGGAATCGGTAAGCTAAACAATGCGAAAAGCATGAGTGTGCCTTGCTCGCATTAAGTTGAGGAGACGTATTTTATCTGGATATATGTTGTTACGCCAGGGTCACTGTACACGAATATATCGGAAAGTGGTTGAAGGAAAAACACAAAATGTTACCGTCTTAACATGATATTTTTTCTCCTCCGCGTATACCAATGACATAAATCACAAAACAATGCTGATACTTAAATAATGGACAGAAAGTCTATCCCGCGAGGTCAATGTTCGCAAGGACACACCCAGGTGTAGTTCATTGAGTACATGTTTGGTATTTACATCTTCCTATACATGACATGTGCGAGGGGCGATTGATAAGTTGTGAGCCTACCTCTGAAGGAGTTTGGTACGGATGAATTCCTTTGTGGTGGTGATAGACTGATCAAGTACAGTGACATACACAGGAAGATTGTTGTATTGGACACATTATTTAGTTTAGTATAAGCTATATCCGATAAAAGGTACAATTTAAGACTACAGATATGTCATCTTCAATATACCAGAATCCTGGAAAACTACAATCCAGAAAACTAGAGAAATAATTTTACAGAATTTGTATATAAACAGTTGCTTAAGTGATCTGATGAAGCCTGTTAAAGGCGCTAGAAACTTTTATGCTAAATTAATATCAAATGAAAATAATCTTAAAGTTTGTGATAAATGGCAATCAATTTTTCACTGTGATTTTAATTGGAAAACGATATTTACGGCTTATAGATGTAAACTGAAGGATGTAAAACTTTTAGATTTTCAGGAACAGATTTCTACATGGAATTATCTAAACGAAGAAGGAACTATTAACAAAGAATCTTGTGGACAACAGTGTTTGTAGCTTTTGTAATGCTGTCAATGAAGACATCAGCCATGTCTTTTGGGAATGTAATGAAACTAAACAATTTTGGAATGATCTTGAACTTTGGCGTAATAATTATCTTCCACAAAAACAAAAATTGACAAAATATCTTATTTGGTTTGGTTCTAACTACTCTGATACTTTAATCAATCATATAGTTTAAATGGGGAAAAGGCATATTCATGTGAGTGGAATTAAAGGAATCAAACCGAAATTAGATATACTTTTAAAACTATTTAAAAACATATACTCAATCGAGAAATTTATTGCTATAAAAAAGGATGACAAAAATAACTTTAACAAAAAATGGTCACCATTATTCTCAGTATTTGATTCTTAGCTCTCTGTTGATACATGTCATGTTTGAGTCTGATTGTGTGTTGCAACCGTTTTGGGTTTGAAATAGGATAATGGGTTTTTTTCCAACCCTTTAATTTTTTAATGAGTGTATTGTGTATGCTTTCCGAAATATGTTTTTGACGGAATACTGTACTAATCTCCAACTCTGGGAACAATAAAAAAAATAATTTTTAAATGAATAAATAAAAGCCGTTGGTGATGATAAGGAAGTTAGGGCAAGTCTTTTATGATACAAGTATTTAGACGATCCTATGCCACATGTATTGACGGCACGGGTCTTATAAGGCGCCGCAATTCGCCATGTAGAGTTGCGTCACTTTTCCGTCACTGTTTCTGATGCCAGACTCGTCCCTATATTACCCTTGATTTTCAGTACCATACACGTAGTGATGGGTTTCATGAAAGTTTTGTTTGTTTGTTTGTTGTTTAACGTCGCACTCGGGCAATATTCCAGCTATATGACGGCGGTCTGTAAATAATCGAGTCTCGACCAGACAATCCAGTGATTGACATCATGAGCATCGATCCATGCAATTGGATGAGCATGGATCCACGCAATTGGGATACGATGACGTGTGTCAACCAAGTCAGCGAGCCTGACCACCTGATCTCGTTAGTCGCCTCTTACGACAAGCAGAGTCTCCTATCACGGCAAGCATGGGTTGCTGAAGACCTGTACTACCCCGGTTCTTCACAGGTCGCAATTATTTGGAAAATGATAATGGAAGAACCTCAGGTGGTCCCCCTGCAGATGCAGTTACTGATTTAGGTGCGACAGTCAGATATGTGCCAGCTGTAATACGGGACCTGTAAAATCAAGGTCCACAAATATAGGTCACTGAGATCAGAATCAACGTCATCAGCATCGGAGCAAGATAACGCTCAAAGAAACAACTCACATTGGCCGCAACAAGAAATATACGCGGACCCAGACTGGGGTTGCATGGGTGTGCACCACATTTTGAAGCATACGAATTATGTTAACGTATAAAAACGTGTGACGAAGTATTTGGTGACATGTGTTTCCACCAAAAAAATAACTTTTCAGTGGCTTATGTTTGGCTTGTAAACGAAAATTGTAAACGTCATCAGATCACATGGTGCTTCGTCTTCCCGAGGCGAGAGAGTTAACTGACTATAAAAGTCTAGTTTCCACCCTTGCCGAACTAGGCTGGTATTATGGAGTTACGTTTTGGCTGGACTAACGAGTCTTTGCATAGTCCAATCAAAATCGCGCAATGAAATCGAAATTTGGTTTGTAAACTGTCGTGCAGATTTCGGTCGATTGCAAGATTTGCAAAGCATGTGCACTGCCAACTCGTTGTCAGCAGATATTCTCCAAACCTTTTCATGTTTTTAATCAAGGCGCTCGCGTGATTTGATGCACCTCGCGAAGTAAGACCCGTTTTATGACAATATAGACATTCATGATCGACCATATCGTCTTGACTGAGCGCCACCGTTTTGTTTGAAACAAATGCAAGTGATGGAATCTGATTGGTCCATAGGAGAGGCTTAGAAGGGACATAAAACGTAATAACCACTGGTGGTGCTACGATCGAGCCCAGGAATTCCAACCAAGTTCGGCAAGGGTGGAAACTGGACTTTTAAAGTCAGTTAACTCTCTTGCCTCGGGAAGATGATGGTGCTTACACAACCTATTACTGATACAGAGCGTGTTTCTCAGAAGGTTCGGCAACATGTTTTCCATTACTGACAGCAAATTGGACCCAAAACATTACGCATGGACCCATACATAAATTGGATTAAAATAATTGAAAATGTTACATGTTTTACAAGGTCAATAAAATGTGAAATACTTTTCAGCAATCTTTTTATTGAGGCGTGGGTGCAAATGAACACCACATGCACCATGCTCACTTAAGTGATATTTCATACATGCAATGGAGAAGCTTTACAATCATACATTTATACAATTGTGGTCGGTGCTTAACTTTTGCACAGGTGTATATGTAGATGTTGACTCGTTGCCAACAAACACGATAAATAATGCAGCCGTAAACCAATCAGGAACGCCCTTGTGATTGTCGTGACGTGCTTTAGTTTCGTGTCATTTTATGCATACGTTTTCATTTATCCCGGATTGCTTGTAAGGTATGTACATTAATTAGTTTTGTGTCTTTTGAGTAAATTCTTCATGCTACTTCTCTGGTTGTACGTGAACGTGTAATTTACGCTTCAGCTAATAATAGCTGTTTTACGTCATATATCCTGTCACGTGTATTTTCTATATTTGTTCTTTGTAAGCATTTTGGGGGGCAAATTGCTAAATAACATGATTTGAAAGTATAAGCAAAGATTTGCAGTGTATGCTTACTATGTTTATCCATCTGTTTAAGTAAATCGTAACAATGTTTTGGATAGCGACAAGATTCTAACGGTAACAACTTTGTCCAGTAGATTATTCCCAAGCGGACGTCAAAATGTTGGAAATTGCTCAGTGGACCCGAACACACGCACGCGCAGACACACCTGCACACAGTCGGCAAAAATTGCTCTCAGCTCATATGATGACTAATACAATCAATTTGTTATTTGAGGCAGTTTGTAGAGAAAAATATAAGTTCTATGCTTTGGCGCTATTTCTACAACCTGTTACCCCTGCTCTAGTGGGAGTTGTCATGTCGACGACTTGGTTGTGTCCAAGTAGTGCAATATTTGTCACGATGAAAAAAGCTATACATATTTGACCTTTCTTTCTTTTTAAACTGTGTACTTCATAACCATTATTTTCAACCAGTCAAGACTATATATAACTGATCTTGAATTTGAGTAACTTTTTACGTGTGTTACTAATTACGAACTCTTTTCGAAATGTTCTTGGACACCTGACCTATTTGCCCATGCGTAATTTGGCGTTCCGAAAGACTACAAGCGTTCTTGTCGTCATGGTAAAGAGCTCGGTTCCAAAGTACAATAAGAGGTAGCTAATCTGCCGTTAGACTACCTTAAATTTCAAAACACAGTTTTGATACAGGGAAATTTTATACCTGGGGATTTCAAATGTAACAGTTTCCATGCACTGAATACTCAACAATACCCATCAGTCATTCAAAAGAAAATTATTTGGTTAATTGTGCCCTATGATGCCAGGCCGTCTGAACTACTCCTGAGATTGAAGCAAGTGCTTTTTGAAATAGGCGAAGCCAGAGGTATCCAGGTAGGAAACCATTATAACATAAAGTGGTTAGTTGTGTTCTGCAACAGTGTCAACTTCGCTGGTTATTGAATTGCATTCTTCATTCTCATTAACGTAATTTGACCAGCTTCAGTTTCATCCTATATATTGTGGTGAAAAGAATATTTTTCTAAGCCATCCATCAAAATGTGCTTGTCTGCCTCATTAAGTTTTAGAATGAAATCCAAATTCCCCCAATGGATTGTAAGCATGTGTATCACAAGGAACTTCTTTGAATTGTAGGCGAAATAATCCATCTATACTCACACGCAAAAGAAACGCAAGTCGAGTATGCAGTATACATGTTATTTATTTTCAAATTGTTTTTTTTCAAATGTTAAGGGCTTACACAGTTTCGGGTCAATACCCTAAATGTCAGTCAATACCTGGTGTGACCACCATTAGCATTGATCACTGCCACACATCTCCTGTACATTGAGTTGATCACACGATTTGTGAAGGCCCTAGGGATCATCCTGCACACATCCAGAGCAGCTGTGCGTAGTTCATCGGCAGTTGTAGGGACTGGGCTCACATTGTGCAGACGCCTTTGAACCTCATCCCACAAGTGCTCGATGGGGTTCAGATCAGGGCCGAGGGCTGGCCACGGTAGAACACAGATGTTGTGTTGTTGCAGAAAGGCCATGGTAGCTCTGGCAACATGGGGACGAGCGTTGTCTTGCTGGAAAATGTGTTGTTGATGTTGTGCAAAAAATGGAACAACGTGGGGTCTGATCACTTGGTCGATATACCACTGAGCAGTAACGCCGTGTCCCCGACCTTGACCAACATTCAGAATGCACATGGGTCAAAGTCTCGCATTAAGTCCAATCCCTGCCCATATTATGACGCTAGGTCCACCCCATGGATCCCTTTCCACAACGTTTCTGTCAGCGAAAAGATCACCTCGACGCCGCCAAATTCTGACTCTTCCGTCTGCATGGGAGACACAAAAGCGACTTTCATCAGAGAAGATGACACGCCTCCACTCACGATGACGCCAATTGCGATGACCCTGTGCCCACTGAAGTCGTGCTTGTCGATGTCGTGGTTGGAGAACAGGACGACGTGCTGGTCGGCGACATCTGAGGTTGTTGGAACGGAGACGTCGGATCACAGTGTCCCGGCTAATGAGTCGATTATGTGTTCCTATGGTCTGTCGAGCACTTTCACTTGCAGTTAGGAACGGATGTCGCTGGTGTTGACGAGTAATCTGCCGATCTTGTCGAGGTGTGGTGACCCTAGGACGACCGCTCCGAGGAAGGTCATCTGTGGTCTGTGTAGCATTGTATCGATGCAGGAGACGGTAAATTGTGGTTATGTTAACGTTGAAATGACGGGCAACATCTTGGACAGACTCTCCAGCTTCCAAACGTCCGATAGCCTGGTTTCTCTGAATTTGCGTTAGGCGTGGCATTGTTGACCAAGAAGTGGTAGGTCCACGAATCGGCCACAGTTTTATACCCACTACAGTTGTGACAGTTCGTGCATTTTCGATTTCGCGAGAAATGGGTGCATGATACCCACATATTCATTGAAATGGTGCGTTTCGGCGATTCGTTTTTTATGTTGCGTTTTTACTCGGGGCTTCAAAAATGCAACCAAAAATATACATAACACCATAAGGCTTCACTTCATGCTAAAACTCGTATCAAGTTATGGTTCCGTGTTTGTTACCTATTTGCTTAAAACCACTTGCGTTTCTTTTGCGTGTGAGTATATATAGATAGTGATCAAAGTTTGTGACGTTTTCGAATGATCGTTTCGTATAAGTTTCAGATGGTTTATTCATAGTTCACTCAAGGATATATTTCAATGACAGAATCCGATCCGTGCCCTTCTCGAGTCCTTGTCGTACATTCAGTCACCATGAACACCTGGTTTAGGATGGCGTTGCTGGGAGTGCTGTTGGTAAATATCCCACAAACACAAGCGAGGCGAATCAGTAAGTATAACAAATTAATACCGTTCCCTTCCCAACGTATATCTATCTCCATGCAAAACAACAACAGTGCAGTAACGCCTGGTTCAGGTTGGGTCCGGTTGGGTCCGGTTGGGTCCGGTTGGATCCGGTTGGGTCCGGTTCCCGAATAACCTGTGGCTTATTATTGATTTGTATAAGAATGAGGTGAGGTGAGGTGAAATGGGTTTTAACGTCGCGTCCAAGATTATTGCACTTATATAGCGACGTGCATGTACGTGTGTGTGTTTGTGTGGCTGCTTGTACTAGTCCGGACTGATGCCGATTTACAGTGCTAGCTCACTGAGATACCATGCCGCAATTTAACATGAATACCTCACTCAGACACAGGAAACTATTGACATACAGTTTTACATACACGTGTATGTTTGTGTGCCTTCATATGCATGTTCTTGCCGGACGAAAGCCAGATTTGCAGTGCCAGTCCGCAGTTTACCACGAACACACCACTCAGACACAGTATACTGACTCCGAGCCAACCACTCATTGTTTTAGCCCCTGAATGCCGAGCGCCAGACAGGGTAACAACAAGTACCATCTTTTAACGTCTTTCGGTATGACGCGGTCGGGGATCGAACCCCGGACCTTCCGCTCTCCGGGCGGTCTGTATAAGAATGAAGACAACAAATAGCTGTTTTTTTCAAAACAAAGTGCGTCTTGTCGGAATGTTCGGTGGGTTCAATAAATAAACAATACATCCTACAATACAATGCATGGTTCATTATTAATCAATATATCAGGTATATGTAAAACCGGGTTATGATTTTAATGTACTCAATTTTACGTAGTTCAGCGGACCAGTTCAATTTTTGGTGATATTTCCCATAATGGATGATATTAAAAACTCAGACATGCTCAACATTAGTATCTATAAATCGTGTGTGGCGTGCTGACCATTAAGTACAGAACCGTGCGCAGTTACTATTTGACTAAGCAGTGGTGTTATTCTTTGAATCTGCTTAATGTGCAGAATTTATTTAATGAACATGTTCCGTTATAAGGGGATAATATACTAGTTTTCATAGAGCTCCTGGTCTTCCATGTTGGTCTGAAATATGCTGTCTTGCAAGAAAGTGCAGCTTTTGTATTAACCCTTTGAACACAATCAGTAATAAACGAGACGTCTGAAACCAACAAAATCAAGCTGTGGAAAAATACCAAACCAATTTTAAGGAACTAAGTGGCAACTCTCTCTCTCTCTCTTGGGCAGCATGTATTATGAGAACATGTATTCTTGAACTCAACAGATTAACAAGAGGATGTTAGGGACGAGGATACTGAGAATACGGAAGAATCGGATGATCGCACAAACGACGACACGAGTGCTGATGATGAGAAAGTCACCCCAAAACGACACAAGAGAGGACTTTTTGGTTCTTTTCAAGGCATGTTTGGAATGGCTGTGAATATGGTAGATGGCCTAGCAAAGAAGGCTAGTAACCGAGGGGAGCAGGCGGACGATACGATGGGTGGTATAGGCAATTTTGGAAAGCGGATGGGCGACATGATGGGGTGGTCTGATGGGCGTCTTCAAGGGGGGCAGGTGAAGCTGCAGGTACGGACACAGCCGAAGCCAGCACAACTGCATGTTGAAATCATGCATCAGACGGGATTCTTAAGTACATGTAATGCCTTCAGAACTAAAACTAGAAATGTGATACTCGATATGAGAATAGAATAAATATAACTTTCGAAAATTGACATCGGGCGGTTTCATATTATAAGAATCGCGTTTCGAAAGCATCTACCGAGTCTACTTATCCATACGATGCTTACAGTGTTAAACTATAAAATATATTCAAATTCTGTACTAACAATATATCTCTTAGGGAATATATATATCGTCATTGCCCTCTATCCATGCAGAGGTGCACTTATATCATTGTATATATGTCTAGTTACATGAATAAAAGCATGTGTCCTCATAATGTGTTCAAGAAGTTGTGAATGCGAGTTGTGAATGAGTTGGGTTTTATGCCACTTTAAAACTACACTCAGGGGCAAAAGAAACAACACCTCTCAATTGATTTTTATCATATGTTTGATTTTCAATTGAAAATATCTTAAGTTAGTGAGAATTTATTCAAAAAGTGGACTTTCCTGGTGCTTAGTCATCACTCAAACAATCCTTCCTTCATGGATTTCTTAAAGATATAATTTGATCTAAAAAAAATAAATAATAAGGATATTATTCGTATAATACATAACTGCTGATGAGTAGCTTTGATATCGTATCTTTGAAAATCAATGAATTTACTTTTTCGGCAAAAACTTACACTTCAAACATAGCAGGTGTCATGTGTTTGCAAATTCATTTCTTACGCCAGTCTTCAGATCTAACGACAGTTCTTTCCGTTTTCAATCACATGAAAACAAACTCGATATACTTTCTTTTGCCCCACAGTTTATTTCCGTTATACCCGGACGTGTCAGTGTAACGTGGTAGGAAAGTCCCTACGTAACTGGGGTCATAGACATTTCTACTACTTTCGTGAAGACCCGTGAAGATCCGGGATAGACTGGGTCTTCACAACCCATGCTTGCCGTAAACGGCGACTGCTTGTCGTAAGAGGCGACTGACGAGATCGGGTGATCAGGCACGCGGACTTGGTTGACACACGTCATCTTATCCGAACTGCGTGGATCGATGCTCATGATATCAATCACTGGATTGTCTCATCCAGACTCGATTATTTAAAGACCGCTGTCACATAGCTGGAATGTTGCTGAGTGCGACGTTAAACAACAAACAAACAAAACTTTGATGAAACCCATCACCACGCGTATGATACTAAAAATCAAGGGTAATAAAGGGACGAAACTGGCATCGGAAACAGTAACTGACACGTGACGCAACTCCATATGCGTCAATATATGTGGCGTCGGATCGTCTAAATATTTTCTGTACTCGCCATGTAGAACAAAGCAAGTTTGTATTCTTGAAACCAAACATATTAAAGAAGCAATGTAATCGCCATCAGAATAGGTAAATGGGTTAACGCAGCTTGGAAAAGTATTCCAGGGATATAACGACGAGTCAGTTTGATGTAGGGGCTTGCCCGAAGTGATGCACATCTTAGACGTTTTCACTTTGGTGAAACCCACGAGCACAGGTATGGTGCTGACAAATCGAGATATATAATCAGGGACCGGACGTTTATTACAGGGGTGGCTGGATCATGTTTTTGATACACAAATGTACTGAAAATAATTACCCTCCCCTAACGCTTCTCAGGTTTTGGATGACCCTCCCAATGCCCTGGTACATTTCATGACCCTCTTTGAAAAGACAAAATGCAAAATCACTTTAGATTTTATTATAAATTTTGTCATGACCCTCCCTAAATATGTGTATTATTTTGTATAACCTTCCCCAAGAGACTGTCATATTTCGGTGCCCCTTCCCTGATTGCCTCTTACCCGTTCCCTGTAACAAATGATCGGTCACTCATAGACGGGGAAAGCAGACAGGCCAAGCAGTAAAATAAGAAGCCAAGTCACTCACCTTCTTTGAATATCCTACCAATAAAATATTGCGAGGATAATTTGTTTGAAATGGAAAATTAGTCAATATTTTTCAAGCTTGAATATTGAATTGAGCAGTTATATTTAAGGTTGTTTTGGGCTGAAAAGGTCTGAGCCTAACAACGAAGGATGTACGGTACACCCTCAACAGTTTCCATGTATTTAGTGCAATACTGCCCATGCTTACAGACTTCACTTGAACCAAATACTAGAGTGAGTGAGTGAGTTGGGTTTAACGCCGCTTTCAACAGTATTCCAGTAATATCACGGCGTGTCAGCTTAATGTGGGAAGAAAGCCCGAAGTGATGCAGGTCTCAGACGTTTACCACTTCAGTGAAACCCACGAGCACGGGTATGGTGCTGACAAACCCAGAAACATAATCGGAGCGAACCGGGATTCGAACCCACAATTATAGGTTTCTGGCGTGCCCAAGGGACACCAAATACTAGAACACAACCGGGCAGATTAGTTCTGCGAGCTGCAAAGTGACTATGTTTTCTCTGTTGATTTGAAAATGGGACGTGTTGCTGAATTATCTTCCCGATAGGGGTCGCGCGTGCTCCGACGGTCCTACTGTCGGAACTTCCGGTTTAAGTTTTCGTTCAGTCGAGTTTAAAGGCGGTATTGTTCCGATAAGGCCTCAGTATTGTTGTCTACCTGGCTCCAACTCGTTGAACTGAGCACAGCCGGAAGTACGGAAGGACCGATAGAGGGGTCACGCCACCTGGCGTCAAATCGGCCAACTCGCCCAATTGGCAAAATTAGCTCCGGGCTGTCAACAAATATCTCCAACTAAAAGGGCTCCAACAACCATCTATGCAGACATTGCGATAGCTCTAGGGTCTGGTGTTACTTCTTTGCCACAGCTAAGAGGGGGCAGCTGAGTTCAAGAGGATCTCGAAGATGCTTGACCTGCCACCATCAAGGAATTGTTCACATAATACATGATATGATTATGGATGATGGAAGTCTCACCAAACGTCATATAGCCAATACAGTAGGCATATCTCACGAAAGAAATCTGAAGAATTAACTGGACATGACAAAGTTTTCAGCATGCGTTCAGGCTTCTCCGGGTTCTTCATATCTCGTGAGAATTTGAGTCGTTTTGAAGCCAATCTCATTTAAATCAGATCTTACTTTTCGTTACCGCTTACCAAAGATCTGAGGACATCCCATTACGGGTCAGGTCAGACCGACCTTGCGCGAACTTTGACCGACCAATGGAATGACCAATCAGAAGGCAGCTTTCTCGTGCTTTACGGCACTAATTTCAAATTGGCGACTACGCTTCGAAACATATTTTGACAAATTCTCGATAACAAATTTGAAACCTGAACAAAAGAAGATTCTGGAATGGCTAGTAGATGGTTTAGATTGTATGGATTCAGTCGTTAAACCCGTAACTATCGTTCGGAGTAGATTTTTCGAGGTTGCATGATTAGAAGTTACATTCCGACTGTCACTTTCATAATCTGGTAAGCGATGCTCTGATTAGTCGGATGAAAGGTCGTTTTGACGTGACCCCTAATGGGATCTCCTCAGATCTTTGTTCAGCGGTATAGCGAGAACTGAGGTCTGATTTTAATGAGATTGTTTTGAAGCAGACCAAGCTGATTGTGTTGAGCGATTTGTAACCATGGCTGAGTTTCGGTGGGTTACTTTACACATATTTCATTGTCCAAAAAAACAATGGGATTGGGCGCAAGTGCAACACTTCAGCATGTTGCCACCTCTTCCCTATGTATAGTTAAATATAATATTCCATAATGGAATGAATAATTTACAATTGAAGAATGGTATTGTTGAAATGGCATGGTAGGTGCAAATAGTGTACATCTCATACATATGCCAATATTATACAGTTTAGTGTTTAAACATAGAATTGAAAATATTTATTAATTACAATTTGGAAACAGTAATATGCTAAATAGTGAATCTGATAGTTGTTTCCTATACATTTGAGTACAGACTATACACGCCAACGAGAATTATATTCAACAAACTTGACAGAAAAAATAGGTAAATGTCCGAGGGACAAAGGGACGAAATTGTGGTGGCAACTTGTTAAGTACCATTTAAAAGAAAAACATGAAAATATAAACATTCCATGATAATGTAAAACGTCTGTGAATGATTTTTCTTCTAGCAGCAATCTATTGTCAGTGATCCTGATATATTAATTATTAATTCAAGTTTCAAGTGTATATTGGATAGTATTACCCTTAATTATGAAGAAGTACAGGACATCTTACTTTCAATCGATACTGCTGAGGCGGTTGATGGTATAAGTAACAGGGTCTTTAAACAGTCAGCTAAACGTACACCAAAACCACTAACTAGACTTTTTAACATGTCACACCTGTCCTCAAAATTCACTACAACCTGGAAGGAAGCTCTGGTAACTCCTGTTCACAAGAAGGGTAGAACAAGGAATGTTCTAATCACAGACCTATTGCGACCCGTGAAAATCCGGGGTAAAATAAGTCTTCAGCAGACCATGCTTGCCCTAAAAGGCGACTATGCGTGTCGTAACAGGCGGCTAACGGGATCGCATTGATAGCAGAGAACGAGTTATCTCTACAGCGGATGTTAGACTGTTTTGACAGTTGATGTAAACAATGGCGACTATTATTGTGAAGAAAACTAATGTTGTACTTAACCGCCCTTATTGCATTAAAATGTCTTCGTGTGTTTTTTATTAGGCGATAGTTTATTAGGCTATAGCAGAGCTTATACGTATTTAGGAGTTTGGTTGCAAGAAAATCCTGATTTAAGGTATACACCCCAAGAGATTGCGAAATCTGCTAGCCGATCACTCGGTGTTATTATATGTAAATGGTTCAAACGTATTAATTCCATGGGAATATACATGGCCGAGGCGGCAAACAAGCTTCGTGGGTTCATCAGAATGCCTCTCAAATGCCTCAGCAATGTTAAGGTACGAGACAATTCAGTTGTATCAGTACTGTACAAAATAAGGCATGTAGGATTTTCCTAGGTGTTGGCAGCAAGACTCCCAATTTGGCTACTCGGGGTGAATTGGGCTGGATGGCTCCCTTTAAAAGGCAAAACAAAATAGATAGTAAGATTTCTGCGTAAGCTGTATAATACTGAATAGTTAAGAATACGGAGTAATACTTTTTCCAAATCTTGGAATAACACTGTTTTCAATATGTTTAATACTCCTAATCTTCCGGTGTCAGATTTGTATAATATGTCTATATTTGAATTTAATCAAGATTCGTTATAGATTAAATCCTTGGATTGTCAGAACTGGAATGTTGAACTTTGGAATGAGCGAGGGCAACCGAATAGGAATAGGCTACTACTGGTATCTGAATCTTATGTTACTTAAATTGGTTGTACTCTGCCCTTGGAAATTGGAATTGGCAGATTTACACGCCCTAAAACACCCCTCGGGAATAGAATATGTAGGTTCTGTGACTGTAACTTAATTGAGGACGAATTTCATTTTCCTATCAGGTGTCCATTTCATTCTGACATATAATATAATTAATGGAAAGATGTATTGACTGTAAATCCATTTTTCAGGCTTCTGTCACCCATTGACCTGGCCACATTCCTACTGGGTAATGACAAATGTGGTAAGTCCTTAGCCGCACTAGTTATTAATGTGTGCAATAGACATAAATATTCGGAGATAATGGTATACACAGGTTTTTAAATTATGGAAACAGTTTATGTCAAATTATTCAGTCTATACGGGGAACTTGGCAGAAAATCAATTTATATCCACTTATATGCACGTGTGGTGTCATTTTGGGCCCGTATCGCGGTTGGAAAAGCAACCAAAATCTCGCATGTTTTGAACAAACTGTTACTAGATGATAAGAGTACTAAAGGTAATACGAATAAATGGTTATGTCAACTGAATATATCTTTGATAAGACTGGTTTGATGTACATATGGCATTCACATTGTGTTAATTCTGTCCATTCACTAAAATGGATTCTGTCCAGTAGATTACAAGATCAGTATTTACAATTTACAATTACAATGATATGGTCTTCTGAAATGTTTGAATCATCAAAGGCTTTAACGTATATGATTATTAAATCCGAACTGGCAGCTGAACAATATTTTGATAAATTATGTAAAAAAAACATGGTTCTCACTAATTCACTTCAAAACAAAATAATTAATAACTGACCATGTCATTTGAAACAGCCGCTTTCTCCCTGACATATTTCTTCCTGTTCGTTACGGTCTGACTGTTGCAGTTCTTCTAGCCCCTTGCCTTAATTGACAGGTCCTATGAGCATTGTTTTGATCCTACTCTCCGCTGATTGACTACTGACTTTGTAGGCGTGTCAAGTTATGTGCATAAATTAAACGATCACCTGATTCATGTCACGGTATGTATTCATACACCTGGAATGTTTATCAATCTCGTCATTTTTGTCTGTTGTGATATATACAGCCTTTCACGACTGTTGATGAGAGGATGTAGATAAAATATATATTACTCAAAAGAAGTTAAGGACCATCTGATTCTTTCACATTACCACAGTTAATCTGTCATGCCATGAAATATTATATGTAGTAATATGAAAGAATCGGGGCATTTTATCGGGTGGTCCTTAACTTCTTTTGAGTTCTGTCCCAAAGACGGATTCAGGTCATGTATGAATCCCTTTATCTTCATTTGAATGTGGGATTAATGTTAGAAACATAATATTTTCACGGTCTCTCCTTCAACGCATAATTTATTTTGTCTGAACGGGGGAGCCATACATTTTGTTAACAGCTCATTCAGCATGCCCGTCGAACAATTGTACTTTAGTAAAACCTGTTGCAAACCTCTTCGAGCCTTAAATTATCAGAGTTTTCTAGGCCCCGTACATACAAATTTACATCAAGTATTATGTGTAATTTCGGTTCAAAATATCTGGAACATAAATTTTGTCAAAGTTAATGAATTCCAAGGTCAATATTTTTACATGAGGTAACTGGAAATGGAGTTTGTTTGCAGGACCTTGTGCTTTGGATCCCAATGGGTACCCATCACATTCCACACTGCGAGGACCTACCTGTCACCCCTACAGCAGGCTCTCATTTGGGCTTTACTCTCCTTCCGTACAACTACTTCCCAGAATGCCCCTCTTCTCAGTCACGTGATTCGATAAGGGTTGAATACAAGGATAAAACCAGACCAGGAAGGTCTAAAGTTTGAAAGATACGATAATCCTGGAAATATGACGTGCGTTGCTCAAACGCCAGACTATGACAAGAAAGTTAGAAACCGTCCAGCATCCGTTGTTAATTACCCTTGAAACACTGGCTTAGCATGGTATGAGTAGACACCTGACTTGGTGTGGTATGAGTGGACGCCTGACTTGGTGTGGTATGAGTAGACACCTGACTTGGTGTGGTATGAGTGGACGCCTGACTTGGTGTGGTATGAGTAGACACCTGACTTGGTGTAGTATGAGTAGACACCTGACTTGGTGTGGTATGAGTAGACACCTGACTTGGTGTGGTATGAGTAGACGCCTGACTTGGTGTGGTATGAGTAGACACCTGACTTGGTGTGGTATGAGTGGACGCCTGACTTGGTGTGGGATGAGTAGACACCTGACTTGGTGTGGTATGAGTAGATACCTGACTTGGTGTAGTATGAGTAGACACCTGACTTGGTGTAGTATGAGTGGACGCCTGACTTGGTGTGGTATGAGTGGACGCCTGACTTGGTGTGGCATGAGTAGACACCTGACTTGGTGTGGTATGAGTAGACACCTGACTTGGTGTGGTATGAGTAGATACCTGACTTGGTGTAGTATGAGTAGACACCTGACTTGGTGTAGTATGAGTAGACACCTGACTTGGTGTAGTATGAGTGGACGCCTGACTTGGTGTGGTATGAGTAGACACCTGACTTGGTGTGGCATGAGTAGACACCTGACTTGGTGTGGTATGAGTAGACACCTGACTTGGTGTGGTATGAGTAGATACCTGACTTGGTGTAGTATGAGTAGACACCTGACTTGGTGTAGTATGAGTGGACGCCTGACTTGGTGTGGTATGAGTGGACGCCTGACTTGGTGTAGTATGAGTAGACACCTGACTTGGTGTGGTATGAGTAGACACCTGACTTGGTGTGGTATGAGTGGACGCCTGACTTGGTGTGGTATGAGTGGACACCTGACTCAAAGTAGAATATCTCTTCCCTTGCCATGGTGAGGTCGAGTGGGATGCGTGGACACCTGACTCATCTATAATCTGTTTATCATTATCATCTATAATCTGTTCATCATCAACATCATCATCATCATCATCACCATCATCATCATCATCATCATCATCATCATCATCATCTATAATATGTTCATCATCATCATCATCATCATCATCTATAATCTGTTCATCATCATCATTATCATCATCATCTATAATCTGTTCATAATTATCATCATCATCATCATCATGTATAATCTGTTCATCATCATCATCTATAATCTGCTTATCATTATCATCTATAATCCGTTTATCATCATCATCTATAATCTGTTCATCATTATCATCTATAATCTGTTCACCATTATCATCTTTAATCTGTTCATCATCATCATCTATAATCTGCTTATCATTATCATCTATAATCTGTTTATCATCATCATCATCTATAATCTGTTCACCATCATCATCTATAATCTGTTCACCATTATCATCTTTAATCTGTTCATCATCATCATCATCATCATCATCATCTATAATCTGTTTATCATTATTATCTATAATCTGTTCATCATCATCTATATTCTGTTCATCATCATCATCATCATCATCATCATCATCATCATCGGGGCGCACGGGGGGCCCAGTCGTCTAAGGCGCCGCAATTCGCTGTGCAGAGTTGCGTCCCTTGGGCACGCCAGAAACCTATGATTGTGGGTTCGAATCCCGGTTCGCCCCGATTATGTTTCTAGGTTTGTCAGCACCATACCCGTGCTCGTGTGTTTCACCGAAGTGGTAACCGTCTGAGACCTGCATCACTTCGGGCTTTCCTCCCACATTAAGCTGACACGCCGTGATATGACTGGAATAGTGTTAAAAGCGGCGTTAAACCCAACTCACTCACACTCACTTATCATCATCATCATCATCGATCATCATCATCATCATCTATGATCTGTTCATCATTATCATCTATAATCTGTTCATCATCATCATCTATAATCTGTTCATCATTATCATCTATAATCTGTTCATCATCATCACCATCATCATCATCATCTGTTTATCATTATCATCCGTAATCTGTTCATCATTATCATCTATTATCTGCTCATCATCATCATCATCATCATCATCATCATCATCATCATCTATGATCTGTACATCATCATCATCATCATCTATAATCTGTTTATCATTATTATCTATAATCTGTTCATCATCATCTATATTCTGTTCATCATCATCATCATCATCATCATCATCATCATCATCATCATCATCATCGGGGCGCACGGGGGGCCCAGTCGTCTAACGCGCCGCAATTCGCTGTGCAGAGTTGCGTCCCTTGGGCACGCCAGAAACCTATGATTGTGGGTTCGAATCCCGGTTCGCCCCGATTATGTTTCTAGGTTTGTCAGCACCATACCCGTGCTCGTGTGTTTCACCGAAGTGGTAACCGTATGAGACCTGCATCACTTCGGGCTTTCCTCCCACATTACGCTGACACGCCGTGATATGACTGGAATAGTGTTAAAAGCGGCGTTAAACCCAACTCACTCACACTCACTTATCATCATCATCATCATCGATCATCATCATCATCTATGATCTGTTCATCATTATCATCTATAATCTGTTCATCATCATCATCTATAATCCGTTCATCATTATCATCTATAATCTGTTCATCATCATCACCATCATCATCATCATCTGTTTATCATTATCATCCATAATCTGTTCATCATTATCATCTATAATCTGCTCATCATCATCATCATCATCATCATCTATGATCTGTACATCATCATCATCATCATCTATAATCTGTTGATCATTATCATCTATAATCTGTTCCTCATCATCATCTATAATCTGTTCACCATTATCATCTATTATCTGTTCATCATCATCATCATCTATATTCTGTTCATCATTATCATCTATAATCCACTCATCATCATCATCTATATTCTGTTCATCATTATCATCTATAATCCACTCATCATTATCATCTATAATCTGTTCCTCATTATCATCTATAATCTGTTCACCATTATCATCTATAATCTGTTCATCATCATCATCATCTATAATCTGTTTATCATCATCTATGATCTGCTCATCATTATCATCTATAATCTGTTCCTCATCATCATCTATAATCTGTTCACCATTATCATCTATAATCTGTTCATCATCATCATCATCTATGATCTGTTCATCATTATCATCAATAATCTGTTCATCATCATCATCTATATGTGTGAAGCCCATTTCTGGTGTCCCCCGCCGTGGTATTGCTGGAATATTGCTAAAAGCGGCGTAAAACCAAACTCACTCACTCATCATCTATAATCCGTTCATCATTATCATCTATAATCTGTTCATCATCATCATCGTCATCACCATCATCATCATCATCTGTTTATCATTATCATCCGTAATCTGTTCATCATTATCATCTATAATCTGCTCATCATCATCATCATCATCATCATCATCATCTATGATCTGTACATCATCATCATCATCATCATCATCTATAATCTGTTTATCACCATCATCATCTATAATCTGTTTATCATCATCATCTATAATCTGTTCACCATTATCATCTATAATCTGTTCACAATTATAATCTATAATCCGTTTATCATTATCATCTATAATCCGTTCATCATCATTATCTATAATCTGTTCATCATTATCATCTATAATCTGTTCATAACTATCATCTATAAACTGTTCGTCACTGTCATCTTTGATCTATGCATTATTATTAACTATTGTCTGTTCACAGTGTAATTGATCCATATCCATATCATCACGATTGTTATCAACAGTTATCAATGACTGTGTGTGATCACAGTGACCTTTGCCTGCATGTTAGTACATACTATACATAAAGGAGATCAGAATTCTTTTATGGTAATTATACTTATTTCTGATGAGGAATGTATAGCTTACTCATAAATGAGAAAAATAAGAAGAGAATGAGCTGCCTCGACTGCGAAAACAAATATTTAAAACCTTGCTTTTAGGTACTTAATAAAACCAACAAAACTATCATATTGTGTTCGTTGTATATTTGTTGACCTGTATACAAATAGTGTGAGTCGGGCAATCATGTCACAACCACATTCACGTATGGACGTACATAGCCACACTGAATGTCCTCATACAACAGATCGAGAAATACCTTCTGTCCTCCTATGTTACCACAACAAACCAACAAAGACGGCATTCGCCGTGTAAAGGGCGCTGTGATTATGACAAGCAGTTCACTGACACGCTGTATGCACTGACGAGGAAGTTTCTGTGATCAAGGTGAGTAATATAGCGAACGATGCCGAAATAAATACTTAAACATGCTACTTTACACGGTTTCCATTTCATTTATAACATCGGATCTTAGTGGTTCGTGAGATTCTGCTGATGTAAACGTGGTCCAGGAAAACGCTATATGGTTTCATAATGCCATATAATGACACGGCCCTAGTTGGTAGAATAGATAGTCACAATTTCTGTAGTGAAACAGGCTCCATATGTGGGAATTATTCAAAACGATAAGTATGTAGCGAGGGAAGAATACGTCACCCGATAGATGTAAATATAAAACGTCAGCGCCAGTGAATAATCAGCCTCTATTATCTGCCGAAACAGATTCCATTGGGCGAAAAGGTAAAATAGGGGTGAACATTATATAAATGGATCCCCGAAAATCAGTATTGACACCAGGTGTAAGGCAACGTTATCTGAAAGAATTGTCATTAGTTAGAGTACAAAATTATCAAAATGTCTCGTCCTTTACTAGACTAGGTTTTGGTTACACAGGAAACTCAAATGACCCTGTTTCCACCATGAAATATAATCTATAAACTCCGAGCTATATTTTTCTTCTTCTTCCCTGGACTGTTCCGAATGTTTGAAAACCAGTGGTTCAATTGTTTTCTTTTCATTTTGCGCTTGGTTTGGTTGGTTGTTTAAGGTCAATTGAAATAGTATGTTAATGATATTATAATAATTGGAGACTGCTACATTCTGTACTGGGGTATATTTTCATTCATACTACCCGGTACAAGGTAGCAACCATGAAGACACTTCAAGCATTGTGCGTATACTTGAATGGACAGTTCACCGTTGATATGAATTGTAACGCCTTGATAAAAGAATTTCTTTTGATGGGACATAAAATGGGATCGAGTATAAAACCATTTAACGCCGTTTCGTTTCATCTTTGGTCGTATATAAAAGCGACAAAACCATTTCTATAAGTATGAGAAATATCTGCTTAAACCGGAGTCCGTTATACGTCCCTAACCATGTTATAAGCATGTGTTTATAAATCAATAATATCATTTAGTGATTATACTAGGTGTGCGCGAAGAGATTGGCGTATTCTGCCCAACCGGTCGCTATGCCATGAACTGTTATCTGTGTGTCTAAAACATTGCATATTGTGTATTTCTATATCACGAAACGGTGCAATGCTTCGCCCATATGTGATCTAATTTTTTTACTATTTTTGTAATAAACTAAATAGAGTACAGTGACGATGCAATATAATATCATTCTTCTTAAATTTTCGTTTACAGTTTTTCCCACTTCCAAAATTGGTAATGAGAATCATGTTGTTTTGCATCCCCGTTGTTATGATGGATCCATTACGTTCAGGCGCATCCATGTTTAAAGGGGAATCCGTGTTGTTAAGGCACATCCATGTTGTTAAGGCACATCCATGTTGTTAAGGCGCATTCATGTTGTTAAGGCACATCCATGTTGTGAAGGCGCATTCATGTTGTTAAGGCACATCCATGTTGTTAAGGCGCATCCATGTTGTGAAGGCGCATTCATGTTGTTAAGGCACATCCATGTTGTTAAGGCGCATCCATGTTGTTAAGGCGCATTCATGTTGTTAAGGCACATCCATGTTGTTAAGGCGCACCCATGTTGTTAAGGCGCATTCATGTTGTTAAGGCGCATCCATGTTGTTAAGGCGCATCCATGTTGTTAAGGCGCATTCATGTTGTTAAGGCACATCCATGTTGTTAAGGCGCATCCATGTTGTTAAGGCGCATTCATGTTGTTAAGGCGCATCCATGTTGTTAAGGCGCATTCATGTTGTTAAGGCGCATCCATGTTGTTAAGGCGCATTCATGTTGTTAAGGCGCATCCATGTTGTTAAGGCGCATTCATGTTGTTAAGGCGCATCCATGTTGTTAAGGCGCATCCATGTTGTTACGGCGCACCCATGTTGTTAAGGCGCACCCATGTTGTTAAGGCGCATCCATGTTGTTAAGGCGCACCCATGTTGTTAAGGCGCACCCATGTTGTTAAGGCGCATCCATGTTGTTAAGGCGCATCCCTGTTGCTAAGGCGAATCCATGTTGTTAAGGCGCATCCATGTTGCTAAGGCGAATCCGTGTTGTTAAGGCGCATCCATGTTGTTAAGGCATATCTATGTTGCTAAGGCGAATCCGTGTTGTTAAGGCGCATCCATGTTGTTAAGGCATATCTATGTTGTTAAGGCATATCCATGTTGCTTAGGCGAATCCGTGTTGTTAAGGCGCATCCATGTTGTTAAGGCGTATCCATGTTGCTAAGGCGAATCAGTGTTGCTAAGGCGAATCCGTGTTGTTAAGGCGCATCCATGTTGCTAAGGCGAATCCGTGTTGTTAAGGCGCATCCATGTTGCTAAGGCGAATCCGTGTTGTTAAGGCGCATCCATGTTGTTAAGGCGCATCCATGTTGTTTAGCGGAATGGCAGTTGTTAAGGCGCATCTATGCTGTTGAGGCGCATCCATGTTGTTAAGCGGAATGGCAGTTGCTAAGGCGCATCCATTTTGTTAAGGCACATCCGTGTTGTTAAGAGGAATGGCAGTTTCTAAGGCGCATCCATTTTGTAAAGATGCATACACTTATTTATGATCTCCGTGGTCGAGTGGATAGAGCGTCTGTCAGGAGAGCGGAAGGTCGGTGGTTCGATCCACGGCCGCATCATACTAAAAGACGTTAAAATATGGTACTTGTTGTTACTCTGTCTGGCACTCGGCATTAAGAAGCTAAAACAATGACTGGTTGGCTCGGAGTCAGTATACTGTGTCTGAGTGGTGTATTCATGGTACACTGCGGACTGGCACTACAAATCTGGCTTCCGTCCGGACAAGAACATGCATATGAAGCGACACAAACATACACGTGTATGTAAAACTGTATGTCAAAAGTGAATGATATGATATCCAAGTTCCAATATCTAACATATTGACATGTGCATAGCGCATCTACCCATACCTAAAACCACAATACATTGTTGCAACTCATTGATATCATTGAAAGTTTCTGTAAACATCTGGTTTCATAAATTTGCATTTTCCTTTCACAGGCTTTACAATGGGGGTAGGCTCTGGCGGTGGATGGAAAATACTAACAGGGGTATTTGTTTGTTCATCTCTCATTCTCCTCTATCTGTGGATAAGAGAACTTGAAATCAACAACCGACAGAAATTCAAAGATGGTGCTGATTCCAAGGGTAATGGACCCTACCCAGTATGTGGACAAACTAGCAGCAGCACAAGCGGCACCACCAGCAGCACCAGCAACATCATTAACACAACTGAAGCAGCGAATCCTGGGTTGTACGATGACTTGACCGTGATTGAACTCAGGGCCATCCAGAACTACATGTATGGACTCACAAACATGACCATTGTCAGGCCATCAACGGCTACCGTGAGGAACAGCTACATCTTCGCATCAGACCTCCATCCACCAAGGAAAGCAGAAGCTTTGGCATATATGGCTGGCAGAGGTCCTAGGCCAGACAGAAATGCTCGACTAGTTGTCTTCAGGGGAGATGCAAGTCCCCCCGTTGTAGAGGAATACATAGTTGGACCCCTACCTAACCCTACAAGACATGTGCTGTATACGAACTCACGCCGTAAGAATCCCGTTCCATATGCCTACAGACCTCTGGGAGAAGTTGAATATAATTCTTTTTATGACAATATGTTTCGAGAGATTGACAGCACATTGAGTCTTCTTTTGAGAGAAAGCTACGGAGGAACGTTTACCGCCTGTGAGAATACATGCCTTACTTTTTATGCTGTCCCAATTGGAAGTCGGATCGTGCAGCAGCCTGTGCGTAAGATGTGGGTCATCGCCAGCCACTCTGTGGAATACTTTACTCTCAACAACCTTGATCTCATATTTCTCTTTAATATTAATTCAGCTAACTCATCTGTCCGTGTCGAGAAAGTCCTTTACGCCGGTAGGGAGTATCCAAGTCTTGATAATCTCGCCCTGCAGTACAATACCACATCCATACCAAAAACCAGAATACCGTTTCCCAGAGATGACAGGAATCTGTTCTCTTCAATGAACAGAAGAGGTGCACCAGTTCCCAGAGAGCCAAAAAGGGCTCCAAGAATGGTCGAACCAGATGGTAAGCGATACTCTTTGAAACATCGCAGTGTTGAATACATGCAGTGGAAATTCGACTTCAGAATGTCCACCCTGTCTGGACCACAACTATACAATATCCGATTCAATGATGAAAGAATTGCCTATGAAATCGGAATGCAAGAAATAGCAGTCTACTATGGAGCCCATAACCCAGCTGTCCAAGCTGGTGATTTCATCGACAGTGGTGTTTTGCTTGGCACCCACTCCCAGTCTCTTGTTCCAGGAGCTGACTGTCCCGAAACAAGCACATTCATTAATGCTGCCTACATTGGCGAAGGCGCAAGTGATGAACCTGTGGTTCTGGAGAAGGCTTTCTGTCTGTTCGAGTTGAATAGTGGTGTACCCCTCAGACGCCATCTCTCCTATTCTAAATTTCAAGGTGCTTTCTACTCTGGAATGACAGACAACGTTCTGATTCTCCGGAGTATTTTGACGATAGACAACTATGATTACGTTACTGACTTCATATTTCATCAGAGTGGAGCTCTGGAGGTTCGCGTGATGTCCACAGGGTATATTTTCGCAGCTTTCCACACACCAGAAGAGGCTCCATATGGCTTTAAACTACAAGACAACATCTTTGGACCTATCCATCACCACATGTTCCTCTTCAAGGCAGATATTGACATTAATGGAACCAGCAACAGATATGAGACCCTGGACATCTCGGCAGAAGAAGTCCGAAACGAGCAGACGACAAATGACCCAAGCTCAAGGTACAACCAGATTCGATTTGACAGGAGGCTGAAAGAGACGGAGATGGCCGCTGCCTACAAGTTTAACTTCGATAACCCTATGTACCATGTGATACACAATGAGCAACGAAACAGCAGCCAAGGAGAGCTAAAGGCATACAGGTACGTTTGTCTTTCTTAGTTAAGTATAATAGGTACAGACCTTTACACATATGTACACTTGTGACTTTAATAATCAACTTATCACCATGAACTGCCCTAAGATCCCTTTGGCAATAGACATGATTCACATAGAAATTGAAATACATCATTCAGTGAGGATCACCATAGAAGAAATAATTTGTTTTATCGTGTACTTGCATTTAGAAGCTGATCTAGGGAATAAAAGAGAAAGTTTAATCAATGCGCATGCAAAAAAAACATTTTTTTTAAAGAAAACGTTGAATGTTCAAACATTGCCTGTTGTACGTGACGTTTTGTCCCGCAAGGATTCAACTGAGTGGGATGGCCAAACAGCTCCTGCCTGAGGATCAGGGGAATGAGATCCTCGTCTCCTGGGCTCGTCACCAGTTGCTGGTCACACAGTTCAAGGAGGATGAGCGAGACGGAAGTTCTCCGTATGGTTTGTTCGACAGCTTGGATCCTACCGTCAACTTTACGTCATTTCTGGCTGATGATGAGAGTATCGTTGACCAGGTGAGACGCTCATGCACAGATGAAGTCATTATTTTGTATTTATGAAACACAATTATAATTGTTCTAATTGGCTATGATGCTTCTCGGGTGGGATACAAAACGATCAAAGAATCATATAGGCTGCCTTACTTTGCTCAAGCATAGAAGGGCCATAGGTGACCCAGACATCAAAGATGTCGCACTTGGTTGTGCATGGTATTATACAAGTGCATAATGTTTTTATCAAAGTTGCAATCACCTGAATCCCACATCGCTGTGTGGGCTTTCCTTCCACAGCAATACTGTTCAAAGTGCTTTAACCAAACTCAGCCACAAAAGCATTGATGAACATGATCATGATATAACTTTTGCAGTTCATTCAACCATAATAAAGCTACAGTCAACCACGTTAAAGTTACAGTCAACCGTATTATATGTTACTGTTTGATCCGTTTTCTGTGGGTTGTCTCCCAGACTCCAGGGAAGTAATCCAACTCAAGTCTAGATTTGGAAGACTGAAATTAAGCATTGTTCTGGGCTCCCTTTGGATTTAATATTTTGTAGATATATATTTTTAAATAAAGACAACATAATGTTAGTCTAGGTTTCCTGTAGTAATGGTAAATAGTGAATAAGTTACTTAGGTAGTCATATTCAGGTTACAGTTAAGTTTGTGAAGTTGGTCTGTTTCGACCACACTTTCTTCGTACAAAAAAGGGGGCACGGGTGGCCCAATCGTCTAAGGCGCCGCGATTCGCTGTGCAGAGTTGCGTCCCTTAGGCACGCCGGAAACCTATAATTGTGGGTTCGAATCCCGGTTCGCCCCGATTATGTTTCTAGGTTTGTCAGCACCATACCCGTGCTCGTGGGTTTCACCGAAGTGGTAAACGTCTGAGACCTGCATCACTTCGGGCTTTCCTCCCACATTACGCTGACACGACGCAATATAACTGGAATATTGTTAAAAGCGGCGTTAAACCCAACTCACTCACTCATACAAAAAACGAATTTTGATGTAAGATAATGGACGCGGTTGATTTGTGTTTGGTCTGGAGTCATGCTGTGATTGATATTCCATTCAAAATGTAAATGTGAGTATATGTTGTTTTAGGACCTCGTGCTCTGGATCCCAATGGGTGCCCATCACATTCCACACACCGAGGACCTTCCTGTCACCCCTACAGCTGGCTCTCATATGGGCTTCACTCTCCTTCCGTACAACTACTTCCCAGAATGCCCCTCTTCTCAGTCACGTGACTCTGTTAGAGTCGAGTATAAGGATCAGAGTCAACCATCAGCTGGCCTTCGGGTTGAGAGATACGGAACCCCGGGAAAGACACAGTGTGTGGCCCAGTCACCGGACTATGACCAGCAAGTGTCTGATCGACCATCGTCAGTACTACAATACCCGTAAAGAAACAGCAGTAATGTTTTAACTGAAATTATCGGAAATAAGGACTTATATCTTCAGGAAGTTTATTGTATAAAAACATTAATTATATATTCAGCAATGCATAGAACAACCGTTTTACCAGGATACAATTTCGCTCAAGCACAGGGACCCTCGATATCATATCACGGTGATAACAATCTGAGCCCTCGCATTGCGTCGACTCATCAATGGACACTGCGAGGTTGTAAAGTGTCCAATGTACTGCTATAGTGTCGTTGTGATTAGGGGCGGTGGGGTAGCCTTGTGGTTAAAGCGTTCGCTTGTCGGGAATATTCGGGTTCGATTCCCCTCAAGGGTACAATGTGTGAAGCCCATTTCTGGTGTCCCCGCCGTGATATTGCTGGAATATTGCTAAGAGCAGTGTAAAACCATACTCACTCACTGTGATTGTTATCTTGGCTCAAAATTAAACCGGACCAATGGCTACAATTACCTGCAACCATTACACTGCAATGCTAAAAAATGTTATAGCTGTTTCCTTAAAGTCAAGAGTTTTTTTATGTTTCTAAAAAATAATGTACCTCGGTTAACTTTCATTGATTTTTGAAACAAGGCCTTCTTCTATGGCCCAAATGTTGTGACAAAGGGGTGTCTACCTGGCTGGTGGGTGTTACACCTTTCAGTTCCCATTGTGTATACATGAATTATATATTCCGTGTTCAAATACCGGGACAAACACATTTCTAACGGAAAATTCTGATGGATAGTCCATTTTCCGGAGAGGTAATACAGACAATATTCTCTACTGTGATTCCGTTTTGTACTTTCTTATGGGAGGCGAATATTCCCTCCAGCTATGCATGAGCGGCTTTACCCAGTGGGTATTACTGAGTTCTCTTTGTAGTCAATCCTATCTTGCGCCGGTGGCGGTGTAACAGTGGATGACGAAGGTATCACAGTGAATGGTGCAGATGTAGGAGGGTGATGTATGTCCAGATCATATCTATACATATTGTTTCTCAATTATTGCTGAACCGTTTGTTGTGGGAGGATTCAATGAAGCATTACTTCTAATTGAGACGGGTGCCAAAGCTGTCTATGTGGATATTTCTAGGTATTTTTAATTACTTGCTTGAAGGATCCCCTCATCCCACATTTCATAAATGTTGACTGAAATTAAAATGGTTGGTTAACTTAATTTCCTCTGTATGCATATTGCAATTATACGATATCGGTAAACCAGAATTGGAAATACAATTGCGATTTGACTTCTTGAACTATACCATAAAAAATAATTGTGACTTTTTTTCTATTTCTTCCTTTTGTTTTAATTCCAGCCTGGTGTAATTACACTTAAAGACTAAGGACACATTAATACATATACTATTTTCAATTTAATTTATATTATTAATTTGACCAACAACCCGCAGGCCTTTGAGTAACAACTCTAAACCAAGTAATAAAATAATCTTGAATGTGTGGAGCACTATTTGTAGTCAAATGATCAGTTATCAAATTGGAATAGTTGCAAGTACGTTATTACATCAATCTCATTAAAATCAGATCGCTAAACGAAGCGGCAGCCAGAACTTAGATCTGATTTTAAGGAGATTGGTTAATACATCTGTGGTGTGTTTCCAACCCATATATCAATCTAGAAAGTGTTTATTAAAAGTGCTGAACGGTGCTCCCTGCGCTCTTTGTGTGTGTTTCCTTCTACATATCAACACAGACATTTGCCTTGGGTAGATGTACAATTTGACTACAATGTCATTGGCTATATCATATATATCGGTGTCAACCATTACCTCATCAAGGTTGCACTACCCTGCAGCCATCACATGTATACGTCTCATTCTCGCCCTTCTTTAGGAGATGTGCACCTCTCACACTTTGTTGCTTCAATATATTGACGATAATCCGTGCCAAGTGACTTCGTCTCAAGCCTTGGTTCGGCCACGGGAGGGGGGTGGACAGGGGGTTCCTTTATGACCTGGCATGAGGCTGCTGCAGCTGATTCCAAAGTAAGCTGGTATATAACGTAGGTATCACTGACCGAGTGTGTGTCTCTTCCGTTCCTGCCCATAGGGTCGGTGTACATCTACTTTTGCTCGTAAATTGATATTTCCCATTATTTTCCATATTTTGCAAATATTGTGGTACCTGCCTATCGGTCGTTCTGAGTAAAATAATACTTGTTAAAATATAAATATGTGATGTTTATGTATGTAAAATATGATCTTTTCATATAATAAAAATGATACTTTAAGACATGACGCTTATTTCGTTCAGATATGGGCACAGATATCCAAGTATTGCAGGCGCCACAAGTCGCCAAGTCGTCCATAGCGCCATCCGGTGTTTGTGTGTTCAGTTTGTGTGATGGTAGATTTGACACCAAATGAGCTTGACACGTCGTGATATAACACAATAAACTTATACACTCACTATCTCACCTACTCACTCACACACCCACTCGCTCACAGTAGTAGTGAGGTTTGTTTGTTGTTTAAAGCTGCACACAGCAATATTCCAGCTATATGACGGCGGTCTGTAGATAATCGAGTCTGGACCAGACAGTCCAGTGATGGACACCATGATCATCGATCCACGCAATTGGGATACGATGACATGCATCAACCAAGTCAGCGAGCCTGTCCACCCGATCCCGTTAGTCGCTTCTTATGACAAGCATGAGTTTTGTGGGCCGATTTGTCAATGGGATGTCCATGTCGGCTTTCAGGTTCCTCCCTGCGGGGGTTGGACGGGTAGCCTAGTGGTTAAAGCGTTCGCTCGTCACGCCGAAGACCCGGATTCAATTCCCAACATGGGTACAATGTGTGAAGCCAATTTCTGGTGCCCCCTGCCGTGATATTGCCGGAATATTGCTAAAAGCGGCGTAAAACCATACTCACTCACTCCTCCCTGCGGAGAACTCAGCGCAGATAACCAGTTTCAAATATGCATGGTGTGATCAGATAACGCCATTACCTAAGGCTTGTGCGGATGGATGGATTGATAGATAGCCTCGGTCCGATCAGACAACACCAGGCGTCGGGTTCTCGGATCCTTGTTGTCGCATATCAATAACTGACCTCGTCAAGAATAAGTATTTGTAAAATGTGGTTACTATCAGACTGTTCACACAACACAAAACAGAAGTAACAAATGTTATATTTGGAATATCACTTTCTGAGTAAAGTACAGATTCTCGTACGTTTTTGGGTTGAGTCCCGTCCCGTTCGAATGTTACATTTGACCACTTTCAAAATGGCATTGTGTGTCCACAAAACAGAAGGTCATAAAGCACCTACGGCGTAGTATATAGTGGCGATATAACACCACTGCCACAGGCTAATTTGCATATCACGTGGGCGGCCTTTTATATTGTTTGTAAACAAACGCGCTTATTCTGAAATCAGTCTTTCGGTGCGCTTTACATATTGTTTTGCATAATTATATATAGTTGCTACAACAACTATGACAGTGAGGAGCATGACAATGTATATTTACACATCAAAGTGACTGTTTACTAGCTCTCCGTAGGGCTTCGATGACAGCACGTGGAGCCGTACAACCAATGGGGTGCAGGCTAAAACGGCACCTCAGCAAAACGTCACCGATTTCTCTGGCGAAAACGGCACCGCATTTGGCGTAAACGGCTACTATGAGTCGGGCGAAAACGGCACCTCTATTTTTTAAGAACGATAACAACGATTTTTGTAGTAATATATAGGGTATTTGATGTATTTACATGTCATTTGATGTATGTGATGTATTTACATTGTATTTCCCGTTTTCACAGATAAGTAAATATGTTCATATATGCAGTTTTGTGGCATGTCCATCGTCAACATCATCATCATCATGCTCTTCACAATATTGGTCCATGTATAACCCAACATTGTGAGAGTACTTGGGTCAGGGAGAGATCTCCATCTCCATCCTATAGTTGGAGTAGAGGCTATTTTCTAATGTAAACTTGTTTTAACATCTCACAATTATTGGCGTTTGCAAGTTACAATGTAAGTTTAATATCATTTATTTGACCAAGGAAAAAAAAAATAAGGTGCCGTTTTCGCTGGAGTCGAGGTGCCGTTTTCGCCCGGTGACGTTTTGCTGAGGTGCCGTTTTCGCTATAACCCCAACCAATGTAAACATAGGATAACTACGCAAAGAGAAAAAGCTTTTCACGTTTTAGGATTTTTTCACAATGAAAGTTAACCATTCTACGACATGACTTTCTAAATGTGCAGACTCGTCAAAAATGAAAGATATGATAAGCATATGCAATATCTTGAATTGACTGTGTAATATGTGATGAATCGCCACATGGCGCTGGCCTGTGGCAGAGGTACTATGCTGCATGGTCGCATGGAACGCAGGGTGAGAGAGTGGTCATAGAGAAGACGATATAATACATGCTCTGTCATCTGTCATGAGTTGCATAATTGAAGGGAAGTAACTCTTCCAGTAAGAAGCTGGTTTCAGTTATACGGAAATTCGTTTATACGGACGAATTGTGAAATGACGCAAGTGTCCGTATAAACGAGGCACGACTGTAACCCTTTGACGGCTTCTCACATCTTAATTTCGTTTCGGAACAGTGGGTGCAGGTTTTGAACACATGGTAACTCAGCTTAACTGGTGTTAGAGTTTATTGTTAAATATTTCTTTGCTTTTATATCAATCAATAGTTATTGTCAGAACACTTGAAGCCACACGCCCTTAGCGTACAGGAGAGTTAGCAGCATGGCACAACCACGGGCCTATATGATATAGGCTTAACCCGGTTTACACAGATACTAACATTGTTTGTTTGTTTGTTTGTTTGGAAATGAAGCTTAACATGCGTCAGGTCCGGCCCAAATCGCATCCTATTTATACGACAACCCCAGACATCCCGACAGATTTATGCCCCACCTAGACACTCAGAAAATCCCTATCGAGTGTTGAGTAGTATATATATACTTGGGCTTAAATTAATCCTCCTAAAATTTAAAATTAAAAGGATTAGTGTATTCCATGTTATTACCTGCGTGAGAGTTGAATTAATAAACTGTATATATGTGACAGGGAATATGTGTCCTTTGTCAACTGCCTTCTCCCATCCCCATGCGTGATTAAGTGTGATAAACTGACATGTAAGCTTTTATCCATCAAATTTGTAATGGAAAAAAAGCAACATCCTTCGCTTATAATTAATGGAACAAAGATCAAAGAACTATGAGTGAACTTGGTTCTGTATGACATAAGGTACTTGATGGTGGGAGGATAAACCGACGGAGCCACAACGAATATTATCATGAGTATAGACATTTCAGAAAATTTGTACACAAAAAGGTGTCTTTAACTGTAACCATGTCGACCGTCTCCGTGGTCTAGTGGATAGCGTCTGTCGGGAGAGCAGACGGTTGGTGGTTCGATCCCCGGTTGCGTCGTACCAAAAACCGTTAAAAGATGGCACTTGTTGTTACCCTGCCTGACGCTCGACATTAGGGGAATAAAACTAGGACTGGACTGCTCAGAGTCGGCATACTGTGTCTGAGTGGGGTATCTTGGTAGGCTTCCGCATGGTATCTCAGTTGGTTAACAATATAATACCGACATTAGTCCCGGTTAGTACAAGCATCCACACACACACGCACGCACGCACGCACACACGTCACTACATAAGTGGAATAGTTTTGAACAGAACGTTAAGCCCCTGTTCACCTCACCCCAACTTTAAGTGTCTGTCCATTAAACCTTAATGGTACTTGCTCAATTCTCATTAAAATCAGATCTTAGTTCTCGCTGTCGCTTGTTTAGCGGCAATGAGAACTTAGATCTGATTTTAATGAGATTGGGTACTTGCTTAGTAAATCCGCACCCCTTTCGGGGTTTTACTGAAGTGGTAAGCGTCCAAACATTGCACCACGTTGTGCTTTCCTAACACATTAAGCTGCCAAACCGGGTCATAATCTCAATAATGTTCGAAGTGATGTGAAAACCAACTCACTCACTCATCTGATGTGAGAACTCAAGCAATTGACATATAGTCAAGCCAACACACTTCCTATGCTTCTCGATCTCGCGTGATCCACCATGCAGACACAGTTTAAATCTGAGGCCAAAATGCAGGGGCTATTAATAGTATTCTCTGTATTGTAGGATACTGGACACATATCTAAACAAGCGGAAATAGGAAGATTATACTAATTTCGTTCCGGCGTTATTCTGAATGAGTCAGATATGCAATTGGTGTTTCGCTTTCACAACTGCTACGCGTTTTATAAGGAACTTGAAACAGCGCAAGCTGTTCACTTCGATATTAATCTTTCTCTCTAGTACATGTGTACTAAACTATATGTATAAATTGTTCCAATTTTAACACACATATATATAAAGCTATATATAATCATTATAATTACATTTATCATTTATTAAGTGTTGTATCATTTGAATCGTTCCCCTTATATCATTCAATATGGGACTTTATTTAGAATATATTTTCTGACATTATTCGCACATAAATATGCCTTGCTAGATGAGAATTTACACCAACTTACAAAATAGAACGCTCGAACAGCTGACATTATTTCGTTTTGTGATAACACCAATACTACTTTTATAGAACCCGCAATCGCGGCTTATTTTCTACACAACTTATTTCATATGATTCCTCCATTATGAATAACATTCCAATTTTTCTAGGTGTTGGTGATAAATCATGAATTATATATACATTATTTAATAATAATACTTTGTGTTGGTATCTCAAAAAGAAGTTATTCAAAATAGTGGTATAGTAGGCAAGTATAGAACATTCAATAATATAGGTCACAGGAAAGTAGTATCATGAGGTCCATGCGTAAAATCCAGAAAGGTTGCGTGTGTACCGGTATCTTGTCCTTGTAATCCTATTATTGGCTTTATTAGACATCAAGATGTGGTTTGATGAAGCCGGAGAAGTCCTAGAAATGTTTAGGAGCAGTTTCCCGCTTTCATTTCTGTTTTTTGTACCAATTTTAATCATTTTATCACCTGTAAGTCCAGCGAATGCAGCACAGGAATTTTCGGTGTTCAGGATGCAGCAGTACGATCTACAGGGAGTTTCCTACGGTAATAACACACGTATTTTGTCCTTGGTCGCAATATGATAATTATATCTTATCCGCCATGCCACGCGTACAGTACAACTTGTAGCGGATACAAAATTTGCATCCTGTGAAATTAATTGTTTGTTTGCCCCGAAAGAATGGATAAACATTTAAAACAAACATTTTGGATAGAATCCATGTTTGGTTGTTGTAACTTCTTCCAAAGCATCGTCCATTGGCCTCGAGGAACACAAGAGAGCACATTCCGTACAGTCCATGCACATGTAGTCATGTTCGGAAATGTTTGAACTTTAGAACTCGAGAGCACTCAACAATAATCATGCAATAATGGCTTGTAATTCATGTTTCTGAAAGTTGATAATTTACTGAGTATGGTCTAAGATCTAAAATGGAATCAGATGAAATTATTTGTTCAGTTCATGGAATTTGTGACCTGCTGATTGATAATTATGATAAAATTACTCTTTTAATCATGTTGATGCTTTTTCGCCAGGAAGCAAAAATTCTCTGATCAACATGGAAGCCCGTCCCATTGATGCCAAGATGTTAACCCGACGCTGTGTGGTTGCACGTTTGCGTGAAGTCACTATGCCAAAGTTCCGTGACCTGCTCACACAAAATGCTGGGGGGTTGGTCATACTTTTGCCTGAAGATTTTAACTCTCTCACTGAAGAAGAGAAAGTGGTAGGCCTATCTTTTTGTGATATGTTCATAGGGGTTATGCTTATGAGCTGCTTCAACATTGTATTCTGCACAGATGAAACATTCTTTGATTCTCAAAATCTGGTTTATTCATTATAAGAGTGAGGTTTTACGTCACTTTTAGCAATATTCCAGCAATATCACGGCGGGGTCCACCAGAAATGGGCTTCATACATTGTACCCATGTGGGGAATCAAACCCGGGTCTTCGGCCTGATGAGCGAACACTTAAACCACTAGGCTACCCCACCGCCCCTACTCATGCTAAGTATGTCATTTGGAAACAATGTGGAGAAAAAGAATTACACATACCTTATCTTATGTGGGTAACAATGCAGTTTACCAGGTTCAGCTTACTGTAGATGCTAACTGGCTCAGACTGCCGACTGTGACTCTCGCTCTCCAGATGTTGCATGCCTCTTTGATCCTTAGGGTTAGTTGTGTGAGGGATAGGGTAGGTTATCCCCAACTATATTCTTAGCCCTTGGATCGCCTTTCCGATCAAACGCCCCTTCACAATCCTTAGGCTTGGGCACCACTTGCCAATAAAACATTCCTTTACAATCCTTAGGGTAAATTGTGGCACAGGGTATGGGTCAGCCATCTCTTTTAACAAATTAATCCAATCAAATTTGAGGAAACAATTTTTATCAAGTTTTGAGTTTTGCAGAGCAAATGGCGTGTTTCAAGCTGGCAACTTGAGTTTTATCTTACACGAGGCACTAATTGAAATCTGAAAAAGTATGCCTTGTAAAGTGCACTACTCCCTCATGTGTATTGCTCTTACACTTGAACTATGATTAACTATATGTCAGTCATTTTAGTTGCAGTAATAACATGATCTGAGTGATAATGTAAAATGCCTGTGATCATGGTGATTTTGAAGTTGACATTTATGAGTATATTCAATCACTGGTATGTCTGGTTGTGTCTCAGTTTTACATAGTTGCTGACATGTCTCAAATAAGGTAATAGTAATTGGCTTTGTGACTAAATGCTTGTTGCTTTAAACAACTTTCAGTGGTTTATTACTTGCAATTTAAGAACATTTAGGTCTGTGCATGACAACAACTGTTGCTTTTAACAATGTCTTTTTACATGTGTAATTGAGGGTTTACAATTCTGTTCACTCAGCATCTGAAGGGTTTAGAAAGGGACTTGTTATCAGAGGAAACAGTCCTTCCTGTGTACTTTGCGTACGAGACGCCTGGACTAGGGGAAATATATGATGACATCAGGCGTGGGAACTCAGGGGATCAGGCTCCAACTGCATGGGAAGGTAGGTTACTCTTTTAGTGCAGGCTAGGTTGTTGTTCAGAGCTGATTTTGTCTGTAGTATCAGTGGTTATAATTATCATGAGGTCATAGTACCTTGAATTGCTGCAGATTTGGCTTGTTTTTGGTTGGCTAACAGCCAAGGAAGATTCAGTTTTAACTGTTTTCAACTTAATGTATTTCACAATAGTCACAACACTATTGCATGCCTGTTTAACAGCTGGTGTCACTTAGCATATGTGTTTGGCAGTCGTAGATATGTTTCACTAATATTACATCACTTCTATTTGTGTATGTTCAATGTTTAACATGCTTCAATAATAACTTTTGTAAGCATCATATGTGGCTTATGTACCACATGTGTCTTGTCAGGTGACTTTGTTTGACATAAGCTTGGTCACCAAGCTGTGAATGAGTACCTTGTAGGGTGGGATGGTAATGTGACTTGTAACCTTCTAGCACTCTGGGTTGTATACTGCCCAGGGAGTTGAGAATAAAAATTGAGTGCACACTGATCCATTGATCAGAGTTATTATAATGTAGTGCCATGACCATACACTTTGTGGAATTGGGTGCACTTGATGGATTTAATATTATGAATATAAAATTAAAAACAGATGTCCCCTGCCCTTGTCACTGTTTTGTCTTGGTCATGTATCCTGACTGTTGTTTCAGCGCTGCTTGGAGCAGCTACAGCAAATGGTTTCCAGATGTCTGTCACTGGAGCACAGTCCAAGTCCTTGCCGGATTTCCAGGTCACTAACATACAGGTATGTGACTCTCGATTGCACTACTGATCAACGGATGTTGAATGACAATTGTCATGTTGAATTGGTTGGTACAAAATAATTGCAGTGGGGAACACTTGCAGTTTGGAAGATTCTACAACCAGTACACTATCATGACTATGTTAACACTAGAATAAATAACACTGAATGATAAGATTGTCAATGCTTTTTAGACCGCCTCCGTGGTCTTGTGGTAGAGCGTCCGCCCGGAGAGCGGAAGGTCCAGGGTTCGATCCCGGGCCGCGTCATACAAAAAGACGTTAAAAGATTGTACTTGTTGTTACCCTGTCTGGCGCTTGGCATTAAGGGGCTAAAACAAGGACTGGTCGGCTCGGAGTCAGTATACTGTGTCTGAGTGGGGTTTTCATGTTAAACTGCGGCATGGTATCTCAGTGAGCTAGCACTATAAATCGGCATCAGTCCGGACTAGTACAAGCAGCCACACACACACATACACGTGCATGCACGTCGCTATATAAGTGCAATAATCTTGGACGCGACGTTAAACCCAATTACACCTCACCTCAATGCTTTTTATCTACCCTGTGGGGCTTCCAGGTCAGAATTGCACCCCAGCAGCCAGTGCTGTGGTTTAATGGATAGGGTGGTCAGCCTCTATGACTTGGTTAATTGCGTGTCATTGACTCTTCGTTCCCGGATGGTTAGATTGTTACTCATAATATCAATTACTGGATTGTCTGGCCCCGACTCAAGTTTTAGAGGCCGGGATATTGCTGCATAAACATCAAACAAACATTTAATCTGGGTAGGAGTAAACATGGTATAAGAATGTCCATGTTCAAGCCTAATAGTTTGCCTTGCTATTTCCAGGGGCGTTTGTCAGGGAAGGGCATTGAGGAGCAGCTGCCCACTGTGGTCATTGTCGCACATTATGATGCAACTGGCGTGGCGCCGGTAAGTGTTCTTCAGAGATTCCTGCCACTCTTTGTCGAGTATATATGGAGTTACTAAAACCATTATGGTGACATCATGCTATTGTTGTTGCATTTGATTCTGAGACAGGAATTCACCAATAAATCTAAACGTGTAAAACTGGTGCATTTATATGTCATAATGCACAATAAAAGAGAAAATATTGCAACGTTAACATAGTAAAGTTGGTGAAATCCCTGAAATCTGTGTTTATTTCGAAGAATTGTCTCCAATATGTTTTTGCTACATTGATTTACAGTGTCCATGCTGATTCTGACATTTATGCTTCCATAAATGCAAAAAGTATTGAAGTAAAGTTTTAAATAGCTATCATTTATGCTCAAGATTTGGCAGTTTATCTTGTTTGCAAGTATACATGTGTAGAAATTACACAGAACACAGAATGAAACAGTCTGTACATTTATTCAACGTATATTATCAGACCCAACTGACAATAGCATGCACACAGAAATCTTTTCAGCCCCCCTTAACATGCCATCTCTCTCTCAACCGTTACTCAGAACTATCTGCCCCACTATGTCGCACAATTACATCACAGTCTCATAGAATCTATATGCATACACTACATACAATGTAACTAATGCAAGGATACACACAAACCTTGAGTGTCTAAACGAAACCCAAAGTGATATTGTGTGGAATACGAAGGGAGATAACTCTGTCATGGGATAACGCATAGGCCACTAGAAAATATGGTCAGAATATAACTTTATACATGGTACATATGCCCATGTGATTTTTCACTTGTCTGGTTGCAGGCTTTAGCCTTTGGAGCTGACTCCAATGGAAGTGGAGTGATAGCGTTGATGGAGCTGGCAAGACTGTTTGCAAAGCTGTACACCAACTCCAGAACACATGCCAAGTATCCTTGCCTGTTGTGATCTTTGATGCATGGGACTATTTGTGTGTTTTATTTGGGAGGAAGCTTATTGTGAAGAGTGATTGGTTGTCATGGTACCATGGTGTTTTCCCTATTCATGGACATCCTGCCTGAGAGTTGTTTCGCACCTTGGCATTTTGATGGAAATTGTTTACAGTCTGAATTGTTACCATTGCTTCGAAAGTTCATTACAATCAGATCCGCTTTCCATCAAAATCCTTAGGCGGTGGGGTAGCCTGATGGTTAAAGCGTTCGCTCGTCACATTGAAGACCCAGGTTCGATTCCTATCATCAATATTGTGAAGCTTATTTATGGTGTCAAACGCCGTGATATTCTGGAATATTGTTGAGAGTGGCTTAAATCATCCTCACTCACTCTCATAGAGCAAGGTACATCCCAAGTAGTGGTGCAGTTCAATGTGAATATGCCTGTCAATCATAATCATGGCAATAAGAATTGAATGTAGCTTTTACAATTCCTACCACATTTACTGCCATCAAAGGTGAAAGTCATCTTTGAGGTTGTGAAACATCACTGTATCATGTATTGTCAGTTACTGTTGCGGGGCGGTCGGGTAGCCTAGTGGTTAAAGCGTTCACTCGTCACGCCGAAGACCCGGGTTCGATTCCCGACATGGGTACAATGTGTGAAGCCCATTTGTGGTGTCCCCCGCCGTGATATTGCTGGAATATTGCTAAAAGCGGCGTAAGACCATACTCACTCACACTCACAGTTACTGTTGCATGTTTTCTTGTACAATCCTGAGGCTCAAGCAATTGGTGGATCTTAAGGAATTGTCTTGATTGTTCTGGAAGTACTTTAAACTTTGAGGAAATGGCAGTAACAGGGCTTTTCTGCCTCTAGTTTGTTTAAGATGTTATTGCAATTTATTATTTGTATGGTCCTTGACAAATAAAGATACAACCTTGTGTTTCTTCTGTCTGGTGGAGGCAAGTTTAACTACCAGGGGACCAAGAAGTGGATAGAAGACAATATGGAGGCTGCAGGTAGATTGTCAGATTATGACAGAACATCATTGTTTTCTGTTTGCAAGCCTTCATTTTATGCTCATCTTTTCCTTTGGTCTTTGATTTTGGGATATGTGCAGCATTTTACCATAGTGTTGGTTTATCAGTGAATGCAATTTTAGTTCTTTAAAATGTTAAACACTAATCATGCTAATAGTATATATGTCATATATACAAGAAAACTATTTTTTTTTGTCTTATTCAATATCTTTACTATTATGGATTTTGTTTTGGACAGTGGAACTAGTGTCGTTGTTTAGTAATATGTGTGTATGTATTTTAATTATGTGTTACCATGGTGACTGCCTAAATGGTCAGTGAATAGAATGGGTTGGTGCATCATACCAAGACTTTCACCAGAAATATGTTCTGCATCCATTTTCAATCTGTATGTGTATATGATGCAGGATTAGTCAAGACCCTGGATCTGCCACACAATTGTGCATGGATGCTGGCTATATATAAGTGCAAGCATCTTGAATGTTAAACACCATTTCCCCTTTACCCAAAGAACTACAATGGCATTTTGGAATGTTTGAGCAGCCCTCTGTAAGGGGAGTGGCTTACAGTGTTTGCTTGAATGTGACCTCCGCCACAGTTGTTTTTTTCAAGCCGGAAGTGCTTATAACGATATGATGCTAGTGGCATTGGACTTCCTATTCTGTATCAAAGTTGTAGAGCATTGGGCATGTTGTCCCAAATCAGGAGTGATATTATTTAAGTGGAAGTGCTTATAACTTTGTTAATGTAGCTGGTCACTGGAGTAGCCAGGTGGTTAAAGCATTCACTTGTCACACTAAAGGCCCTGGTTCTATTCCCGACATGGGTACAATGTGTGAAGTTGTTTCTGGTATCCCCCACCATGATATTGCTGGAATATTGCTAAAAGCGGCATAAAACCATACTTACTCACTCGAGGCATAGGTACTTCCTGTTCAAAAGTTTTACCACATTGGCGAGGTGTTTTCCAAAACCGGAAGTGATAGTTTTATAACTGAAAGTGCTTATAAGATTGTTATTAAGGTAGCTAGAAGCATGGGACTTTCTGTTTCAAAGTTGTACTGCATTGGGCATATGTGAGGTCAACTGTCGCCTGATGTGGTTGAGTCAATACTGGTTGATGATACATGTTTGTGATTGGAACGTCAAGGGGCGTTCAGGAAATGATGTGGCAGGTAATGCGAACACCTTTCTAGCTTTGAACCAAGTCCTATCATGAGTTATCTTACCTTCATTAATAATGATTCAATTTCAGATGGCAACCTGCTGGTGGATGTGGCGTATGTGATGTGCCTAGATACTATTGGGAATGGAGACACTCTCAACCTCCATGTGTCCAAACCTCCACGGGAGGACAGTTCAGGTGCATCATTCTTAGAGGTACAAGACACTCTACCATCTTATGATTTCACCATGTACATGACGTAGATTCTGGGGCAGAGAAGGTCCCCAGTATTCCTGTCTCGTAAAAGCCAGCTATGAGGGCTGTGTGGTTACAACTGACACCTGTGGGTATTCTGGGTTACAATTTGTCCACAGTCACCTATGCTTGTCAAAAAGGCTACTGACCCGTGGAGATCCAGGGTAGAATAGGTCCTCAGCAACCCATGCTTGCCGTAAAAAGCGACTATGCTTGTTGTAGGAGGCAACTAACTGGATTGGTAGGTCAGGCTCGCTGACTTGGTTGATGCATGCCATTGTATCCCAACTGCATAGAACGATGCTCATGATGTCAATCACTGGATTGTCTGGTCCAGACTGGATTATGTACAGTCCACCATCTGTGCGGCGATAAGTGACAAACAAACAAAACAAAGAGGCTACTGCATATTGAGAGGTTAGGCTTGGTGACTTGGTTGATTGCATGTCATTGTAGTGTAACCCAAATGCATAGGCCATTGCTCATCGTATACATCATTAGTTCATCTAGTCCAGACTTGATTATCGGGCCAGCATGATATCTTGGATGTGGTTGAATATTACTGACTTCATAACACAACAAGCAAACACACAAATTGGGGATCGATGCTCATGATATCAATCACTAGATTGTTCGGTCCAGGCTTGATTATTTACAGACCATAGACATAGAGCTGTAATATTGCTGAGTGCACGTCAAACAACAAGCAAACTTACATACTGTTGGGGATATTATACACATCATGAAGACGTGAATATAAGAATTATGTCCCTATAAATCAAGTGCAAGATGTGGTATAAAAGAAGAGAGGTAATGAACCTGTTTTGTGTCTCTCTTTAGAACTTGGAGGAGGTGACAAAGACACACTTCCCTGATGTTCAGTTCAAGATGGTCCACAAGAAGATCAACCTGGCTGATGAGATGTTGGCCTGGGAACATGAGCGCTTCAGCATCAAGCGTCTTCCAGCCTTCACATTGTCCCGCTTGGACACATACAAGACATCAGACAGGGGAACAGTATTAGACACTAGGTGAGTTCAAGACCCCAGATAGGGCAACTATACTTGACCCTAGGTGAGTACAAGACATCAGATGGGGCTACTATACTAGACACTAGGTGAGTACCTCAGAGAGGGGAACAATATTAGACACTAGGTGAGTTCAAGACCCCAGATAGGGCAACTATACTTGATCCTAGGTGAGTACAAGACACAAGATAGGGGAACAATATTAGACACTAGGTGAGTACAAGACATCAGATGGGGCTACTATACTGAACTGTTGGTTGGTACAAGGTATTGTATAGGGCAACTATTCTTGTCTGGGTGAGGACATGGAATATTGCTGACCTCATTGTTAAAAACAACAAACAAACTGCAAACATTTTAACATTAAGAACAATTTTGAAAGTTCTACCCAATCATGAAGCATGCTGTTCACACTATAGCTGGACCATCAGTTTCAGATGAAGTAAACATTACAGACATTGATTGCTTCATATGCAACCGTAAATCCAACTTGTCTTTTTCAGAGGAAGTATCGATGTCGCCCGTCTTGGCCTCAACATCCAAGTCATCGCAGAAGGCCTGGCCCGCCACATCTACAACCTGTCAGGCCAGGGACACTTCAAGCTGTTCACAGAAGGACTGGTAGGCTCAGAAGATGTTACATCATTTACCCTCTCAATGAGCATGCTTGGTTACGTCAGGTTGATGTGTTCATTGATTCATATTCTTACACTGAACACCTTGTTAGACAGCTGTGACAGCCTGCCAGGTCTAGTGCATAGAGTCGGGGGTTCTATCCTCACACTCTGAGTCAGTGTTCTGGGTCTGTGTGTGGTATCTCTATTAAACTGTGGCATGGTGTCTCAGTGGGCTAGCACTATAGCACCAACATTAGTGCAAGCTATTACAAGCTGCCACACTCTAACAGGTACACAGATATATACACACACATGTGCATGTTAGTTGCAATGTTTAGTGCAATAATCTTGAACACTACCTTAAACTCAATTTTAAGAATGCATCAGGTTTGAGAAATGGATGGTTCACTAGACATACAGAACAACTGTAACACAACCTTACAGAGCAACAGTACTTATAAAACCAATGCAGTCCAGGGGGCAGATGGAAAAAAAAATGCCAGTCTAGTTTGCTTCACTCATTGAGAATCCATGTTAAGAGTAGATGCCTAGTAAGCTATGCTTGTCAGACAAGTTGATTAAATGGATCAGTTGGTCAAACTTGGTGACTTTGTTGATTATGTGTCAGTGTACCCCGACATCTCTTATTTGGCTGGTTTAGGCTCAATTATTTACGGGGACGTGGTGTAGCGTTGAGGTTTCAGCGTTTACTCGTCACATGGAAGACCCAGGTTTGAATCCCAACATGGGTACAATGTGTGAAGCCCATTTCTGGTGTCCCCTGTCTTGATATTGCTAGAATATTGCTGAAAGCGGCGTGAAACAAATCTCACCTACACTCACTTAGTTTTTTACAGGCCACAGTCATTTAGCTGTAAAATTGCTGACTGCAGCATTAAATGAAAACCAAAAGCCCTGTTTCTAATTGTAGAGTGTATAGATTTGCATGAAGCATGTCCTTGTTAACAGTGTTTATGGTGTGTTTAGAATGTCCAGGAGAGTGTCCATGCTGCCTGGATGGACTTCTTGACCAACCAGTCTCGTGCTGCGCAGCTTCTGGCCAAAGACAGTCCAGTCCTGGCCACGTTGGAAGAGACGTTCACCAGGTACCTGAAGGACGTCAAGAAGACCCTCGTCAAGGCAGACAAGAGGTAGGAACGTTGTTCCTGTTGCTCATATTCATTGTGGGGCACCCCTAAAGTCTGGTTATCTAAATAATTGGCATTTTTAGCTTTGTTAAGTTGACTTTAATGTCATAGTTTGATATAACTAGGTGAGAGAATAGGATTGCTCTGTGTATTAAATCTGTTTTCCAACTTCATGGAAATCAGCTTTTCTTGTTTACTTGGGGTGTTAAGATTCTCTGAAATTTATGAAATCTCAATTTTGAACAAAATATTTTCCCAATTTGCCACCCCAGGACACATAGTTTGGAATCCTTGATAAATCCCAGTTATAGACAACAGATATGGATCCATTACAAGAGTGAAGTTACTATTTGTGATTTTTTAAAGAGATATCAAGTGATCAGTCAATTGTTTCGGGCGATTTCGTTCTCCCAAGTTGATAAATTGATCAGTCCCATCAGTTACTCAAAACATTGGTCAGGAAAGCAGCCATAGAAGAAGTTGTATTTTCCTAAAATAAATTAGGACCCTTCACTCGCAAAGCAATTGTTTATTTTGGCAATGGTTGAGTTTGCCTTACTCGGGTTGGGTTTGGTGAGCTCAGTATTTGTAAGATAGATAGATTGGATTGGGTTGAATTATCACAGTGAATGATGTCAGTGATTTCATATAAATATTTTGATGATTAATTAAGCAGTCTGTCAAGTTATTGCTCTTGACATATGTATTTATAATTACATGTTCACTTCAACATGTTCCACATATTTTGCATTTTTCGAATTTGTGAAGACAGGTAAGCGGATTTACTGTGTTCACATACCTCCATAAACACAGAAAATATTGATGTCAATTAAAGTACATTACCTCCTATGTACTACTAACGGGATCGGGTGGTCAGACTTGCTAACTTGGTTGATGCATGCCATCATATCCCAATTGTGTGGATCGATGCTCATGATGTCAATCACTGGATTGTCTGGCCCAGACTTGATTATTTACAGACTGCCATCATGTAGCTGGAATATTGCTGAGAGCAGCGTTAATCAACAAACAAACAACAAAACATGTATCTTGCCAGATTACAAATTTACAAATCAGGGTTTTATGATTTATTATGTGTCTTTGTCAGAGATCCGGAGTTTCTCTTCTACAATGGTGCTGTATATTCTATGAATGCTTACAAGTAAGTATTATAGTGTATGATCAAGATTATTTCTTACTTTGTTTGCTGTAAACTGTTAACATGTTAAATGTCAGCGTGATGTTAATACATAGTGAAAAGTATTATGATCTGATTCTGGCTAAGTATGGAGGAAACATGAGACTAGATTTATATCAGGGTGTATTATTTTATCTTCGACAAGGTTTACAATCTGTCTGAAATAATGAATGCTACATGGATGTGTTGTTCATGCGTGCCACTTTCATAGCCACGATGAGAAGTGACTTAAAGGTTCCCTTGTCTGATCTTACGTTTCCACTTTCAGTGTGAAACCAGCAGTATTTGACCTGTTCCTGGCTGGAGCCATCGGGTCCTACCTCGCAGTTGTCTACATCTTTGCTCAGGTCAGTACAATGGAACCCGACCACCTCTGTGGTGCAGTGAGAGCCTTGGGAGCGGAATTTTGGTGGTTCAAATGCTGGTTGCATCATACCAAATAGGGCATATAACCAAAACTGTTCGGCTCGGAGTCTGTAGATTGTGTGTGAGCGGGGTATCCAGTGGTAGAAACTAACATTTTTAGTTCACTAGTCCTTACAATGATAACATATAGCAAAACCCTTAGAAATGGCAAATTTCTACTAGTCCTTATGATACCTTAATGATTGGACAGTTTGGCAAGGACTACAGGACCAGTGCCAATTTCTAATGCTGGGTATCCATGTTAGACTGCCTCATGGTTTGACAGTGGGTGAGTACTATGAAACTGGCATAATTCCGGACAGTCAGCCACACTCCCGTGCATGTCACCTGTGGGTGAAATAATCTCATATGCAATGTTAAACCTCATTTCGCCTCACAACAAGGATCTCCTTATTTTTGTTGAGATCTGAGATTAATGAACCATAATCTGTTATCTTAATGCCTGTGCTCATGGGTTTCTTGAGACTACTTATCCCCTACAGTCGATGTTACTTAGAGCACTTCCTGACGCATTAGTTAGACATGACATAACTGAAACACTGTCGAAGTGTTAACTCACTTACTCCTGCATAAGTTCAGTGTTATTGCATGCATATTTTAGTGATATATCAGCGTTACTTTCTCCTGTTTCCAGAACTTTTACCGTGTGTACCAGATGTTGAGACAGTATATCGGAAACTCCAAAGTAAAGGCTAGCTAAAGTGAGTATATATGATATTGTCTCCAGCTGATTCTATTTGGGACAGTAATGGTTGAGATTACCACATGTTTTGGAGACATTGGTGCAGGGTTTTGTTTGCAATAAATCTTATGTCATTTTATGATGGAAAATTCATTTTGATATTTATAAATGTGTATTTATTGCAATATAGATGAGTGTAAAAGATATCTGCATGTTACACTTGTGGACATACTTTAAGGGAAGCGAATGTAATCCCTGCAGGACTGAGGAGTTTCCATCGCAGGGATTGCTGGTGACCGAGGGGATTCTATGGCAGGGATTGCTTAGGACTGAGGGGATCCATGACGGGGATTGCTGGGGACTGAGGGTATTCCATGACAGGGATTGCTGGTTCCTGGGGGTATTCCATGACAGGGATTGCTGGTTCCTGGGGGTATTCCATGACAGGGATTGCTGGGGACTGAGGGTATTCCATGACAGGGATTGCTGGGGACTGAGGGTATTCCATGACAGGGATTGCTGGGTACTGAGGGTATTCCATGACAGGGATTGCTGGTTCCTGGGGGGATTCCATGACAGGGATTGCTGTTTCTGGGGGGATTCCATGACAGCGATTGCTGGGGACCGAGGAGATTCTGTGGCCAAATATTTTTTCAGGCCATCCGGATTTGTCTGTAATATTCCATACTTCAGCTTCACACAAAACTCACACTCTTGTTTCTCAGAATGTGCCAGTGTTATGTCGTAGGTCTTCTGTGCACTGTAACATTTAGCCTGGCTTGTTTCAGATAATCATGTCTGGAGACTCGGTCTGCCCAGTGATGAAGTCAGCACCACAACCTCTCTCTCATCCACATACGTCATCTCCATGGCAAGAACATTGTGTACAAATTTTGATGTTATAATAAGGGAGCATTTGGTGTTGTTGACTAACACCATTTGTCTAACCTTTCCAATAATCATTTCAATCTCTTCCTAATCAGAGCTCAAGTATGCAAAGGCAAGGTGTTTATTGACCAAGTTAAGAACTGGGGGATTCGGAGTGATTTGTAAGATGCAGGACATGAACCCTACTATGCTTTAATCACAGATAACAAACTCATTGAGTTTTGCATTTTCATTTCCAGTGTTATACATTCGAACAAACAAATATACCATTGTAATCATTGTGCGTGTATGGATTGTTTTACCCCGCCCGGAGTGTCCCATCTTCATTTATCACAGCATTCCATATTTCCGCATGAGTTACTTCCCCTTGTAAACTTCCTCAAAGAGTGGATCAGCACTTGTATGGCTTTTCAAATTGAAAGATGTGTTGAACACAAATGTAGCAAACTCATAGAACTTACAAATAGTAAGAAGAAAGGACAAGTTATGATAGGGCTGTTTTGTAGCCCACAGAAAAGTTGGAAAGTCTGGAAAAATTGTTATGTAATGTATTGCAAATGTTCAACTGTTCTAACATTGATAATCCTTGATACTTTTCTATGAGCATCTGTGGCCCAAGATGAACTGTTCACAAAATAACAGTCATTGTTGTCTACAGACTTTAAGACATCAGCTTTTGTAATTGATATCAGCTTATCATACCTCCTCCTTTGTCTTGGGTTAAATTCCTTCTTTTAAGTATCATAACTCTTAAAATAAGAAGTAATTACATAATTTTATGATGTAATGTTTGAAAACTTAAGTTAGTAGTTGGTTTTCATGCAAAGTAACTTGGAATATACAACTCTGTTTTGCTCTGAAGTCTACATTAATCTAGTGACATGAGTATACAATACTATACATGGTATATGTAAGTATCAGTAATTAAGATTTGTCTGTTGTGCAGGGTAAGGATCTATTTGATAAGATGGTTCCAAAGTCATATTGAAAAGGCATTATTATGTATATGTCTGATCTTGATGTGCCATACTCCTCCTTCCTGGCCGATGTAATGCTAGTGCAGACCTGGCCTCAGGTCATGCAGGGTACACTAGGTTGATTACTTGGAAAGCCAGAATACAACTTGACATTACATGACTAGGTCAGGTGGTAAACATCCTGGGGTTAGTCATCTTGCATTTATACATATCTATTGTTGTTAAGTAGAAATTTAATATAATTTATGCAATCATCATTTTCTCTAGAAATCCAAAGATCAAGGATGTGTAATTTATAGAGAAATCATGAGTGTAAATAGCGTAGTGATGTATGTTTATTATTATTATCATTATTATTATTATTATTATCCAGATGCAATATTAAACCATGTGGAGTTATGTTTTGTATATTGAGAATGTTGATCTCTTGATACCAGCATGGAGCCGATAACTCCACTACAGCTTCTACTACCAGAGGAGGTTTTCTACATCTCTAAACTATTTGTAATAAAGTTTTAGCAAAATCATAACGTGTGTTTCATGTTTATATGCTTAGATGTTGTCACCAAAGTTAGTAAGATTAGACAGGCGACAGAGAACCTGAGAGGCAACTTACACGGATCAGCTGCACTCGGTGACTAGGTTGATAGCGTGTCATCGTACAGGGACGAGTTGGGTCGTTGAAATATCAGTGACTGGTTTGTTTGGTCAAGTATTGATTATTTGCAGGCCGCCATCATATTGATGGAAGGGCAGTTCGATAGCCTTGTGGTTAAAGCGTTCGCTCGTCATGCCAAAGACCTAGGTTCAATTCCCCACATGGGTACAATGTGTGAAGCCAATTTCTGGTGTGTCTCTCCCCCCCCCCCCACCCCCCCACCCCGTGATATTGCTGGAAAATTGCTAAAATTGGTGTAAAACAATACTCACTCACCTATTCACATTGATGGAATGATGCTAAATGTGGCTTTAACAACAAATAAGGTGGGAATAATAAGGAATTCTATGGTCTTTGTGGGTGCACACAATTGTGTACTGGTGTATTTACTACTGTCACCGTCTGCTCCAGAAATAAGCAGATCGCACAAAATTGTCCACTGGTGTAGAACACTATAGCCTAATGACAATTTCTATGTACTCATCGCTAGCATGTCTGCCCTGGACATCAAGGGCTAAACTCTGCAGATTCCTGGTTAGATATAGCCCAAGCATATTGGTCATATAAGAGGTGACCAAATGTATCGGTGCTCACACTATTATTCTCCGGATTGCCTGGTCCGCACTCAATTATTTACAGGCTGGCATCAAATAGCTGGAATAACAAACAGATAAAAGATCCTCGGCTGGGCGCTAGTGATATTGCCTATGAAGTTCAACTTCGGTGCCATGGGACTTCAGGGCAGACACCCACAGGGCATTCACACTGTACCCAGTGTGTCTAAAAAAATACTCACGGAAATGAAAAAAAACTGTTTTTTCGACCTCAGATCTTAAATTATTGCAGTTAATATACAAAATATGTAAATATTCAAACAACTAAATTAGTACTAATTGGGCCGTGGCACAAATACAGCGTATCAAATGTTTTTATGCCTTTTTACACGTAAAAGTGTGTAAAAATGTGAATAAAACAGACTGTTGTGAAACAGGGCATAACCAGGTGTAAGTAGATCAAGGTGACCTATGACACCTTGACAGGTGAGAACAGGTGCATAATGCCTATAGTCTGTTTCTGCTATGTCAATTTGGACTTAGTTTTATTTTTGAATGTTGAAAGTGCCGATATATTACCTCCTGTTAAGTACATTTTGTATTGTTCACTGAGATCAAACTAGCAAATCCATACTAGTACAAGTGAGAAGACACTTTAGGCGGCGGCTGCCACGATAAGATCAATGCTTTGAGCTTGTCTTCGGGATAGCACATCTTCATCACGTTCACGTAATGTCCTATACAACCTTTCGATCATGAAGTATTACAGAAAATGTTGTATCTCAGCTCGATGCAGCGCTACATCGAATTTATTTGACAAAATCCATTTGCATATTGACAGACATCCCTTTACTCTCCACTGAACAATCAGTGTGGAGAATAGAGAGCTTTATGAAAGCCGGTCGCCATTGCTGCGGCAAATAAACGTATCCCGCAGCGGTTTTCAATAACTGAATAGCAGCAAGTATTTAACCAAACGTTCAGAAATGTTCACATGGGTCACAGGCAGAATTCAACAGGGATCAACAATTTTAAGCTTATTTTCCGCGGGTTGAAATTTTATTTCATGGAATTAAATCTATCTTTTATACCAATCATATCTATAACATTTTATTTCGGTCACATTTAGGCCAACCCTTGTGTAATATGGTTCACAGATGTACAAAGTTGCTTTTGCATTTCATGATTCACATTTCATGTAATCAGTCATGTTAAAATATGTTTTATTAAAATAACACCGCATTGTCTCCATATTGAATTTTCGGACATCGGACAATTAAAAGCATAACGACAAGTTAACTGAAATAACGATAAACTGTCGCCACGTTCTACACAAATGAGAATAATGCCCCGTTGGTCTGAACGCTGTGCGTTTCGATCATTTACAAATGGCTTTGTGATTGTTTCATGGAGTACAACAACTGGGTGCTGCTTTGTGCTTCCGTGTCTTTCATGTAAAAAGTACATAAGCAACACATTCATGATTACACTGGTGTATATATGCAATGTATATATACAATGTATAACAATGACAAAAATCAACATAAATCCTGTCAGCATTTACAGTTTCCGCCTTGGCTCCTGAACTAGGTTTCCTGTATCACAGCGCGAACCCTCCCTCTGTCCATAACGTTACCAGTATATTGCTTCGGACTGGGAGAGTTCTTCTCACCACCCTATTCAACAATATTCCACCCTATTGAACTAAAAAAGCGAGAACATCATGGCAGTGTTGTCTCGAGCCGTTTCGTTTTTTCTACAGGAATTTGTTTTCACTCTTTGCTCTTGAATATCTGTTGCTGCCATTATGAAAGATTTCAAACTGGTTTCGACAGAATTTACTTCGTGTTTTATTACGATGACCTTGACCGTGGCCTGGTTTTTCGCCTCTTTCACAAATTGTCAAGAATGTCACGAGTATTGAGGTCAAGGTCGTGACTAGATGGTTTCTACTTGTAGACACATATTCTGTGACCTTGGAACTAGTACTGGTCCGTTTGTGTTTACTTCACTGAAACGTTCATATTCAGCAGTTTATCTTTTGTAAAACTGAAAACACACATTTCACTGAATAATTGTAACCACTGATCGAGATAAACGTCTCAAAACATGTTTTTGAATTTAAAGGTGAACTGATATTTCCAGTTGATTCTCAGAACTATGATCAAATATATTAATAGCGCATGGGAAATTGTATACTTAATTGTACGTAAATTGTACATAAAAACAAACTAGATTATTCCTTCAAACCAGTGTGACTCAGTAATTAAACAAATGATTACCATCCCTGAATTAATTGTTAAATAAATAATTAAGTCTCTATTTCCTTATTGTATCACCCGTCAGCTGTCATTATGCAATTATTTTATCCAAGGTAGTATTCCTGTCAAGTGTAAAGGGAGATAACTCTTAGCATGCTATTAATGTCGATTTGGCTAGCTGTCGAACACATACCTACCCAAAAGCGCCTGGAGGTTTTAGTTGCTAAACAATACACTTCTAAGGCAGAATACATTTTGGAGTACTTATTATATTTTGGACGCAAAATAAGACATAATTGTTACCGAGTAGTCTCCCTTTAAGAACGATTCCAACGTGCCTGTGTACTACTGGTATTTCACAGGTTGTAACTTTCGTACTGGGATGATCGTCTGGTACTTAAAACCATGCCTCGTCTGACCTTATTAAACTGCATTATCTGCAAATAGCGAAAGATTAGCGAAAAGTGTGCAATTAAGGTCAAAACTACGAATTATGCAATATCCCGGGCACTCGTCCTGTGCACAGACGACAAGCGGAAGTGCACGTGCTCCTTCCTGAGAAAGTAGTTCTTCGAGGACTGAAACACCAATAATAAACAACAGCTAATGCCAGTAGTCACACACAAAGCCATCTTGTGCCTTCCCGTAGCCGGATCCCGCAGTACACACAGGCATCCTTCAATGTAACAACATGGCGGTCTGCAAGATGCGGGCGTGTGAATACGAAGGACAAGGCCACTATAATCAGACAGCTCCCACCAAGCCACGGTTAGGTCCCACAACCACCTGCGAGTACAACCTCCAATACACTTCCGGGAATAAAGCACCAATGGGATTGCAGCAAGTGACGTCAGTCCCACGTGATCGGATTTCTGAATTTGGGCGGAGGAGCACTTCTACACCGTCTTCCAGGCCATGTCGAGGATTTTTTGGTTCGCTCGTTTAAGGACAGTTTCTGGACTGTGACCGACTCGGACACCCAGTCAGGGTGTATAACAAAAAAGTCTCTCCGTGGTGTCGTTGGGGCAAAAACGCCGCCGTCGTATTCGTATGATGTTGACGGTCGTTTCTTTTTCTCCTCGGACTTAATCGGGGAAGTATTTAGCGACCTGCTCTTGGAAAGGGTGAGTCCTTGTATGGGCTGCTGAAGGAAATTAGCTGACGGGAAACTCTGGCTGTACCAGGAATGAGATGTCTGGTTCCGTCGTTGGTAGCTTGTCGTCTTCTTAGATGGTGCGTCCATCGCGCCTGGTCCTAGCGTTATCGTTCGTACGTTCAAAACCTTCCTAGGGGTGCTGGAAGAGAATAATACATTTTGTTTGAAATATATAATATTAATATTATAAAGTAGTTCTGGGACAGACGGATTCACCATTTCAGATGAATATTCGTACACACATACACACAAAGCATTACTCCGTACTTGCTTCGTTATTCCGGACGATCTGAACAGGTCAGGTTCGTTCCTGGTTAACGGGGTTCCACTTACTGGTGAACTGACTTCAAACTTCTTAATGGGGCATATACTTCTTGAGTAGATTGAAATACATGTACTGGGATATTTGTGCAATCACCTTTAACCTCGTGTAAATTTAGGAAGTATCAGAACGCATGGCCAACACATCACCATGTGCATCGGAAACACTCCCCACTCCTCTCTCCAGAACTAATCATCTCGACCGAATGTTTTACATCACCACAAACACGAACCTCATTAAGAAGCTGATGGTATTTTGTTTAAGTTAATTTTTTAGTTTGGATCCAATGCTCATTCTAACGAGAGGAAATCCTCGAAGTAATGTATTCTAAAGTTCAATACATCAATACGTCAATGGCAATCATTAGGTGACAATGTGTCTAAAAATTGATCCACGCGCGGGGCCATTTTAGATGTGAATACCCAAGACAACAAGATTCTGATTTGTCTTCTCCACAACAAATGGCGCACATTAAGGGTCATTGATTTTCTATTCTTGTCAGTTTTAGTGTCTGCCGTCTTGTAATAAACATCTAATGTTCCCGCCACACTACTTTGAAATCGACATGGACGCCATCTGGCAGTGATTGTGTGCATGAGGTATTGAAAACATCCCATGTTCTGTGATCAATATCACAATTACTGGTGTCTCTGGCAATTATTATATGCCAACAGAAATGTGGCGATTCTCATTACAAGCTCTTTATAAGGGATGCTTAAACTTCTCTTTTTCTTGCCAATCCACATATCCCATATACACTAGAACGATGGGTCTGCCCGAATGCATGAAACCGATATCCCATTTCCATTTAGGGAAGAAATCACAAAATTGATAACAGATGAATGCAAGTTGTTCAGCACGCTTAATAAAACAGGTAGATTCACGTCTACATGAACTCCGATCGCGGCTAAGATATAATGAGTCTTTCAGTTTTTCAAAATTCTAAAATGTTTCCCCACTAATACAGTTTGGTTGCATGTAGATGGAAAGAAATATGAACTATACTATCAATCCATTCCCATTATGCTTGGAGAGTTAGACAGAGAAGACAAGGTCCCAAACTGTAGTAAATGCTGAGCAATAGAGCTAACTGAAGAACGGGTGGTTACAATGGGTGATCGGGTTGACTTCGTGTCATCGTGTGACGTGAATCGTAGTTCATGATATCAACCACTGGTTGGGTAGTGCGGTGTACATAGCTTGGTTATTAGGAAACTACGTGAAACTCATAACCCTCACTCACTGAGGTGGGTCTGAATTCGTTCAACATTCACTCCCTCAATAGTTCTTCTCATACTACTGAACTGCACAAGTCTAGAATAAACGTGTTCTTGTCCTTCTTGCACCATAAAATAGCAACCGTGTATTACTGGACTGAACTAGAGTTGGCAGGCGGGTACAGTCCTGTTTCAATAAACTGTCTCAAACTAGCTAGAACCGCCTTTACCTAGTTGCTGCGAAAGGGGACTTTGTGGCACATCCACTTCACGTCCTCAATAGCCTGGGTGTACTCGCGGACTACTGCTGTTGAACATTATTTATAGAACGCTATTAAATTATTACGCAAGCAATGGTATCACTAAGCTAGGTCATTATTCCTTTGTTGATATAAACGGATTCTGCTGAAAAGCAGTCTCATTTGGTCTCGTTTCACCGAGACTGCACACATGGTCTCGCAGATGTTTAATCACAGACACTAATCAGTATTCACGTCGCGTATGGACATAAATACATTGCAAAGCGAGAACCGTTGGGGGTCGGCAGGTCTCAAACCATACTTTCTCTATAATATTTCAGCACTATTGGGAATACAGAGATGGACCCTCTAAAAATACGCGCAATATCTGAAGTTCGCGCGGCGAGAGTTAGGTTAAGAAAACGAACTTATAGCCGATTCTAGGCCTATCGATCAGGCAACGGCAACATGGCTCGGTAGCTTCTTCAAACCAATCGACTTTGGACACGGTAATGAAACAGAGTAATGCTCTAGTTTGTTATAAGAACTCGAGAAAGATCGAGCAAATAGGAATGGTAGTTCATCACGAATGTAAGTTCATGAAATCGGGGAATCGTTATTACATTATCCATCGTGAAGGAAGTTTTGGGGCGAAGATGTCTCTTTTCATTGCGTACTCACGTTCGGATAATTTTAATCTGCGGGTTTGATTATTTGTTGTTCAGTGTGCACTTTAAATGACACATGAACTAATAATACCAATAAAAAATGTAAGGGACCACCCGATTCTTTCATATTACTACAGCATGTCATCACATGAAGGATGAAACAATCGGGTGGTCCTCCGCGTCATTTTAGTAGTATGTTTTATTAAAGGGAATGTTTAAGAATGATTTTCGTGGTTTAGCTGCATTGGCCCTGCAAAGGTTCAACGAATAATGATACCCAGGAGAATATTACTGCAAGTTCTCCATGAAAAGCTGTTTCAATGCAATCAAATATACTTAGCCATATTGACACGAGTTGGTCGATTAGGAACCAAGTGTGACACAAATGCCATGTGCAAATGCGCCATGTATTGATTAGCCTATCATGATACTCATGTTCACGGAGTCAGCTGTGGAGATTGAATCAATACTACATGACATACAATTACATTATTTATATAGATACATGTAACACAACAGGTTATGTAAAGAGTGCCACGTCAGACACCCATATAATTTATATAGAGATTCGAATTACTGGATCCATTTACGTGAACACTGAGTTGGGTTTATCGCAATTTTAAACGCCATTTCGGTCACTACGTCATATAGACAAGTATTCTTTAAATAATCTCACACAAAATACATTCAGTTAACTTGAAACAACAAAAGTCCAAATGTCATCCCTAGTCAGGAAGAGATAGTGAAGATCACAGTCACTTTTAGTCAAAGATAAAGAAAGTAACAAATATGAAACAATATCGAATATCTCTTACACATAGATACACATTTAAAAATACACATATATAAAAGCAATGCCAACCTGAGACCCAAAGGGATTGAATTAAAAACTTAATTTGGCTTGAGGCCGACATGTCGATCTCTGTTACAAGAAAAGGACCAAAGAAATGCTAGCGAAACACGAATCACTGGATAGGAGTATAAGCATCGCGTGTGGGCATATCTTTTCCTACCGGCAGCACTCGTCCAGGAAAATCGATTCTCTGAAATAATTTGAGGTAAACTTTGACTTGCATCCCGAATCGTGGGCGTCTTCCCGAGGCAAGGAAGTTAACTGACCATAACAGTCCAGTTTCAAACCTTGCCGAACTGGGCTGAAATATCTGGGCTCGATCGTAGCGCCACCTGTGGCTATTACGAGTTATATCCCTTCTATGAACCCCCTATTGACCAATCAGATTACGCCTCTCACATCACTTGCATTTGCTTAAAAATTGAGAGCGCACAGTCAATACGATCTGATCCTACTTTCTCGAAGTGCAACAAATCACGTGAGCACCTTGATTAAAAACATGAAAACATTTGAAAAATATCTGTTGACGAGTTGGCGGTACACGAGCTTTGCAAATCCTGCAATCGACCGAAAACTACACGGCAGTTTACGAACCGGATGTCGATTCCGTTACGCGATTTGATCAATGCATAGAACCGTTAGCCCAGCCAAAATATAACTCCATAATTCCAACCTAGTTCGGCAATGGTGAGAACTGGACCTAATAGTCAGTTATCTCCCTTGACTCGGGAAGATGAATCGAGGGGCGCATTGTCTTCATCTTTAACTGATGTATTAGATCCAAGATGGTTTCCAGGGGTATTTAGTTGTCGATGACAAGTGAGTAGATTTTACGAGGGCATCAGCGTTGACATATTTTGAGTTAAACTGGCTTCCTGAATAATGGGCGCTTAGTCTTCATCTTAACTTATGTATTATATCCAAGCAGATGGTTTCCAGGGGTATTTAGTTGTCGATGTCGAGTGAGAAGATTTTACGTTGGCAATAACAATATTGAAGCAATTTAACGAAGGGAGGCACCAACAAGCTTCCATCATTACCAAAGTTGGGAATCGAGCCCCGCTTTACGAGCGACTGCTTAACCCACTGGACCTCCTAGCTCCCTCCTGATAAAGAAGAGTACTTTATCACATACCTCGAATATCGAGACCTATACTCCGACATCCCGTCCGAAGACAGCGACAACGAGCTGTAGCTCTTCCTCATGATGTTGGAGTAAGTGAGGTCCTGATGTAGGAGTAAGTGAGGTCCTACTGGTATAGGACTAGCACAGATCTACTAGAACTCTGTGGTGTTACTCCATTATACAGTGTCCCCGGAGATGACTGCACGGTCGGATGTAGCAGCAGTAATTACTGAACCCTTTACATTTGACATTACACTGGGAGACTCGCGGGGAGGTTGCTGCTCTGTGCGGTAGAGTGTGTGTGTAGCAGTGGGATGTGACATGATGACAGGATGCGACTCAGTTGGTTCTCACTTCGAACCAGTTTAGATTTACCGTACGTACTTCAGATAAAGGATTAATCTTTCCATTGGTGATTGTGTGTGATGTAGTTCGCAATTCTACAAGATGATGGGGAAGATAGTTCTTATGGCACTTTTATCGCTATTCTAGCAACGTCACGGCGAGGGACATTCACACAAATGGGAATTTAGGAATTGAACCCAGGCTGAGGCTTGACGGGCGAACGCCTTAAGGCTACCTTAAGGCTACCCGACTGCTCATACTAGGGAGAGAAGTCATAGAGCGTCACATAGTGAAACATTAAATTGGTATGAATACTGTTATTAAAGGATTCAACAGCTGCATCTTTACAAGGGGCATTTATACTTTTTCACGCTGATCACGACGTAGAAGCCGTAGGAGACTTTCAAGCGGTCAAGAACATGCATTAGTTGTTGAGCTTTACAGTTAAGTGAGGCGAGGTGAAATGGGAGTTAACGTCCTGTTCAAGGTCAGTGCACTAATATAGCGACGTGCATTCATATCCACGTGTGTGTGGCTGCTTGTACTAGTCCGGACCAATGCCGGTTATAGTGTTAGCTCACTGAGATACCATGCCGCAGTTTAACATGGATATCCCACTCAGACACAGTATACTGACTCTGAGCCGACAGTCCTTTTTTGTCCACTTATTGCCGAGCTCGAGCAAGAGTAATAACAAGTACTGGGGATCGAACCACCGACTTCGGGCTGACAAACTATCCATAAGACCACGGAGGCTGTCTTATAGTAAACTAGGAAAATGTACGATACCATTGTCATAATTAGTATCATAATCGTTATTATGAATATTGTTATTATGATCATCCTTACTAGTGTGTGTATTGGGGGATGTGGGGTAGCCTAATAGTAAAAGCGTTAACTTGCAGAAGACCGGGTACGATTTATGAACCCCACTACTGATGGATGGATTCTAAACATTTCCTCTTACACATAAAACTGTTTGAACTTGGTTAATTCTCTGAGATGTCAAAATGCATGTATACGTCGTAATGTGTACGAGAAAGAATAAATGAAACTGTATCAGTACACAGTGTTTGATCTAACCCCAGACAAGTACAGCAAGCGTCCCCCGAGGGCTGCAGACGTTCGTGAACCTCGTTATGCGAGATGTAATACTTCAATCATAACAATGTCATATGAGATGTTTTTTCTTAAGGAACATTAATGCATTTAAGACAGAGTAGCTTCAAAATGTGACAAGACAAAACAGATACACTATTACCCATTTTCTACACGTCAAAAGTTTCACTTATTTTCTTAGTTAAATACAAACACTACGAACGTGACGATACACTGAAAATGAAACTGAGGTGAACATAAATTGCATGTATTCTAATAATGTCAACAAAACTGAGCATGAGGATCGATGTACCCAGAGTCACAAGGGAACTTGCGTCACCGACCATCAACTGAGTAAACACAAATCCAGTTATATCGGATAACACTGCGATCAATTATTAATAGTCAGGAATGTGATACTATGTCTGCAACGTGTTGCAATAAGATATTATCAGCGAGAGCAAATTCCGAACAACTATGCAAATGCCCACATAATACAAACCCAACACAACTCACATCCTCTCACATGCCATACAATGAACCTGCCGAAACGCTTGTACAGAAATCAATATGGGTACTCCCAGTCAGATATATCTCACATGGCGTCCATCTTGTTTACATTACCTGTCTCGCGACTCATTGTTCGCCTGATCGACCTCTTTAATAGCGTCAAATTTAGACGGTAGGGCGGACCAAGGGCGTGGTCGACCCCCAGGGGGATGTCTGGGTGGCCTCGGGTTCTGGGACAGAAACATCCGTCTCTTGTAGGACGACCGGAGTTGAGACTGGCGTGCGTCTGCCTTCTCCTTGTCACAATGCTTCTTGTACGCGTGGAGCGCCTTATCCATAATGTAGTTGTATTCGTTGTCCACATCTGCAAGGGAAGTGAGAGAGTGATGTATACGTACCTAAACTAGACGTTGGGGCTATGGGTGTGCTTCACAAAACTGGCATTTCCTCGGAAATTCGTTCTCGCTTCAGAGCGCCGCCATTTTGGTCTAGGATTCATGGAGGATATCGATTTGTGTGATGGCAGCGGTTCGGTATCGATTTTCATAATTAATTCGCACGTGACCTAACGCACTTTTCACTCGCGGCCGATGTAAACGACAATCAATACTGGAGTGATGTTTGTGGAAGTTTTATTTTGTATTCTGTGAAATATGTTTGACGGTTATAGTGGCTTATAATGTGATACTCTATGAAATACACGCGGATATTGTACGCACAACTTATCCGACCGGCATTATCAGGCTTAGGGAGTTACGTAGGTTTTTACTTATCGAATCACTGTACTATAATATTTGTACAAGTATCACTTGTATCACTTGTCCCCAACTTGATTCAAATAAAACTGTTCTTTTTATAAAAAAAATACAGGGGGGCAACTCCCCCACCCCACCCCACCCCACCCCACCCCCCGGCTGGCTACGGCACTGATTTATTATGGACGTTGTACAATATTAAAGTAGAGTATATCTCGAATGATTTTTACGGTTTCGACGATTTCGTTATATTCGTATTTACTTGATATCAGGCTTTCCTGAAATTATTACATCTAGTAAAAGTAAAACAGCTTGACCCCATGCATGTTTAACAGAGAAAATAACTTGTTCTGTATTTCCCTGCTTGTATTAGTCTTAGGGGATTCGTTGTGGCGAGAATAAGTATACTTTTGCTTTATTGAATCCTTAAAGTCTACATTTCATGAGTGTAAATAAGCAGCAATCCTAATTTAAGTGCGAGAAGATAAAAATGGTTGATACATGGATACAGGGATATGTATTGGATTCGGAACATATACTTTTGTGAATAGTTTTTGTTTAATGTTTTATACCTATATATGTGCATACTATTAACTTTCACCGAGGTTGAAACAGACCCGTGAAGATCCGGAATAGAATAGGTCTTCAGCAACCCATGTTTGTCGTAAGAGGCGACAAACGGGATCAGGTGGTCAGGCTCGCTAACTGGATCGATGCTCATGGTATCCGTCACTGATTTGTCTGGTCCAGACTCGATTATTTACAGACCGCCGTCATATAGCTGGAATAATGCTGAGCGCGACGTTAAACAACAAACAAACATGAGGTTGAAAAAGACAAACTAGTTTTGTACTTTGGTCTGAGAGCATACCGAGCCATGGCTACTCATTCAGGAAGTTAATAGAGACATTACGGTAAAGCCGAGAGTAGGGCTGTGTATTTGGCTGATATAGTTGGAACATAATGCCTCATATTTGAACCATCGTAATTGTCTCGCTACGTGAAACGAAGGTTTCGTTTACAACAATAGAACAGTTTGTGCGATGACTCCTCGGTAGCGTGTTCATGTCATTTTGTCATTGATTTCACAGTTATCAAATAGTCGTATCTATTTATTTCTAACATATAGACCTAAACGTAACAAACGCAATTGTATTTGTGTCTTTTTCACTTTCCTTTTCAATAACACGTTCTTTGTTAACAGATACTGCCACTCACACGCATAAATAGCACAATTGATTCATATGCTGTTTTCCTCAGTAGACGGAAATAATACAGACAGTTATTCCGCTTTTAACATCGATAAAATGAAATAAAGGATATAATGAACACCAATATACAATATAATAACAGATATCATGAATGTCGTATAATGATATAAAGGATATAATGGACACCGATATAATGAAATAAAGGATATAATGAACACCAATATAATGAACAGTGATATAATGAAACAGCTGATATAATGATATAACAGATATAATGAACTCCGATGTAATGAAATTTCGAATGTGATGAACACTGATATAATGAAACAGCGGATATAATGAAGACCGATATACAATGTAATAACAGATATCATGAATGTCGAAAATGATATAACGGATATAATGAACACCGATATGATGAAAAAAGGATATAATGAACACCGATATAATGAAAAAAGGATATAATGAACACTGATATAATGAAACAGCTGATATAATGATATAACAGATATAATGAACACCGATAAAATGAAATAACATATAAAAAGAACTCCGATATAAAGATATAACGAATGTGATGAACACTGATATAATGAAACAGCGGATATAATGAAGACTGATATACAATGTGATAACAGATATCATGAATGTAGTGTAATGATACAACGGATATAATGAACAGCGACATAATGGATATAATGAACACCGATATAACGAAATAACGGGTATAATAAACTCTGACATAATGATATGACAGATATAATGAACACCAATATGACAAAATAACGTATATAATGAACACTGATATAATGAAATAACGAATATGATGTACACCGACATGATGAACTCTGACATTATGAACACTGATATAACGATCTAATGATACGGTGATTGTCCAATCAACGAACGTCTTGATATGAGAGAAACCGATAAATCGAACCATTGGATATAATGAACACGGATGTATGGAGCTAACGCAACGCTTTGCTAAAATTCATTGAATTAAATAAGATTTTTTTTCTAAAGATTTTGTCTATTGCTACACGTTTGGTCATTTAAGGAAGGAAACAGATCACATACTAATCGACAAACGGTAAATGACATACGGGTCATCACGACAAACGGTAAATGGCATACGGGTCATCACGACAAACGTGAGTGCATCTCGATGAGATCAAATGAGTAAGACGAGTACGTGTCATGGCAATAAAAACAGACGTTTAAGATATTGCAGTACAGACTGCAGCCAGGTATTTAATCTGTTACACAATATCAATAATGCATGTATAGCAAAATCAATTCTTATGGTTATGCATAATATATATGATGTGACGACGTTTTTCGCTGGAATGCATGTTTTTAGTTGTTGTAAGTATGGTTCTATTGCACGTTTCTCACTAGAATACATTATTCTTAGTTATTGTGAGTGAGTGAGAATGGTTATGCGCAACGTCTAACAATATTCCAGCAATATTACACCGGGGGACACCAGAAATGGGCTTCACTTATTAGTTATATAATACGGCAACGTTACATCATAAGATTTCAATGTAGAACACTGGGCTCTGGGTTTAACAGAATACGCTTGTCTTTTTACTTCAGTATTGTATCCGTTCAGCACATTGTCAATATCCTTTGATTGGAAAAATGCGAACGGTGAGGATAATATAGAGACTCACGTCACAGATAAATCATTCCAATGTGCCGGGCAAAAGAAAGCATACACCCATGTTTCACTCCCAATAAATCAAACAAGAAATGGTTATTCGTTGGTGATGTATTTGACACGGGGATCATAGTAGTGTCTTGGACATTAAGATTGAAGAAGGGGCGGCCGGGTAGCCTAGTGGTTAAAGCGTTCGCTCGTCACGCTGAAGACCCGGGTTCGATTCCCGACATGGGTACAGTGTGTGAAGTCCATTTCTGGTGTCCCCCGCCGTGATATTGCTGGAATATTGCTAAAAGCGGCGTAAAACCATGCTCACTCACTCACTAAGATTGCAGTGTTTGGGCGATTGGTTTCAGCCTAGTAACGTTTGGATAACGTTTGTAATATTTTGGTCAAATCCTACTTTCAGGTGTGTACATTCTTTTGCCCAGCAGTCTACACGTATTCCCCATGCTTTCATACTCAGAAGATTGACAACATGTAGCTGGCACGGGAAGCCCGGTATATGTGTTATTACAGGTTAGACGGTATTACCTACTACAGTTGTTAATATTGTACGTATGTAAATACACGGGTAATATGCAATGGGCACACACGAGGATGCCAAAATGTGATTGCAATTGACGGGCGCGAGGATGACATTTTACGAGCGTTTCATTTGCTATGTGTTTGTTGGTTGTCACTGTTTTCAAAACTTTTCTGTCCTGTAAATATTATTATGATTTTTTTTCACAGTAACTTTTAATTAAAATGAAACGTTATTCTGGTAATGGTGACATTGACACCTATATGATAATAACAGCAGTGCTAATATGTGAATAAGAGTGAATTAATGTTCGGCATTCGACGTCATTATTACAGCATAGTAACTGCGGTGTGTTTATACGGATATTTGTAATAACCACATCACGATTATCATTCCATCAGAATCAGAATTAACACTTGTTCACTCAAAACGGGTAGAGCATAGAAAGAAGAAGATCAACAAATCATTAAATGATTTTTTTCAGCATGAACAAAAGTTTTAAAAAAATCACTAGTGACTTAAAAACACCCCCCTAAAGATACTACTCACCCTCTTCTGAAGATGTGAACAGTTCGTCGCCATCACGCATCCTTCATCGTCTAGCCCTAACCACAAAATCATTCAGCAGGTAACAGAGTGTGGCTACACGAACTCACAATATCCGCCCTCAACAATGACACTACCGGGGCGATCTCCTTTGCCCGTCTTTATTAAACACCACAGACCACTCTCCTTACGTACAGTAACATAGGAACTCGGCTGCTTAACTAACGTCAGTGAATTATTCATGGCTTCGTCTCCTGTATCCAAGCGAGGCGTTATATAGGCCATACGTTATGGGGATCATTACAGCGGTGATTTGCCTAATGTATGTTTGATTTAGCCATAATCGATGTATCGATCTCGCGGTGACAAGGATACTGAAATGAACGCTGGTTTGTTATTGCGGGATATCCGTAGCACATTTCCATGTTGTTTTCCAGTCCATTTCATGATTGATAGCCCGACCAGAAATATCCCCGATTGTGGATTAATGTCTTTTAACATAGAAAAATGCTTCGGTGTACACATTTGTTATAATGGATATCTCTGGATTTCACATGAAGCGTAATGTAGCGACTGTTTACTTAATCGATCAGCGAAACTACAAAGGAAACCTGACAGAAAAACCTCGTTAACATTTTTGCACTTTTACTTTTGACCTATATACAAAAAATAGCAATCAGAATAACTTAGGAATACCTGTTTAACAGGCTACACGGTAGATTGGTTAATAATTAAGGGATCCTTTACATGTCTGAATAATACCACATGTAAACGAATTTAATATTTTCACGCAAATGTAGTAGCATAGCTCTAATCGAGTGAATGAGTGAGTGAGTGAGCACGTCTTACTCTGCTTTTGGTAATATAACAACCGCTTAACGGTTAGGGACACAAAGCTGGGATTTCGAACAATGTACCCATATGAGGAACCGAATCAAGACGAGCTTCATCTTTCCGAGGCAAGGGCGTTAACTGACTATAAAAGTCCAGCTTCCACCCTAGCCGAACTAGGTTGCAATTTCGTGACTCAATCGTAGCTATCATGTTCTGTTTTTGTCCCTCCCATTTGACAGTCAGATTCCAATCTAGATCGACAAGGGTGGAAACTGGACTTTTATAGTCAGTTAGGTCCCTTGCTTCGGGAAGATGGACGTACTACCGCTTTAATCATTCAACTATCCCACCGCCCCTTAGCTTTATCAAATCCTACGACTGCGTGTCATAGTACCCCACCGACGTTGGACGTAGCTCACAATATCAATCACTGGTTTGTCTGGCCTAGGCTCGATTATTTACAGACCGCCGTGATATAAATTGAGGTACAAAAGAAAGTATACACTTGAAGATTTGACAAAACGATTACAAACGTTATCAAAGCGTTACTAGGCTGAAAACAGTCGCTGAAACACTGTAAACCTAAGGTCAAAAACACAATCGAATACCCATTTCTTGTTTGTTTCATTTTTAGCCATTATCAAACTTCGGTATATACTTTCTTTTGCCCGTGAATTGAGATTGAATATCGTTCCATAGCCCCGCCAGGATCCCTTATTCTCAGCTGCCAATCCCAGATTCGCCCTGATTATGAAGCCTGTGTTCACCATGGTTGGTTGGTTGGTTTGTTGTTTAAATCCGCATTCAGCAATATTCCAGCTATATGACGGCGGTCTGTAAATAATCGAGTCTGGACCAGACAATCCAGTGATTAATATCATGAACATCGATCCACGCAGTTGGGATCGATGACATGTATCAACCAAGTCAGAGAGTCTGACCACCCGATCCCGTTAGTCGCCTTTTTACGACAAGCATAGTCGCCTTTTACGGCAAGAATGGGTTGCTGAAGACCTATTCTACCCCGGAATCTTCACGGGTCTGTGTTCACCATGGTGACAAACGACTGTCATCTGAAATACTGTTTCCACCCAGGTGCATATTCAGTCTTCGCAACATAATGTGATGAATCGATATTAGCCGACTGCCATGTTCAGAATCCCAATTTTTTAACACGCAATGATGTTTTCCTTCAGGGCAAGGTTATTAAAGTCAAAGTTTGGGACATTTTTCAAATAGAATTCAGAACAAAATATGACAAATATGAAGTTTTTATCTTCCACCTTTAAATATCTATGGAACGAATTCATCATGTGTCGCCTGTTTCGTTATTATTCGTAACAACTCGTCCCTTCCGAAATCTTCACGTCGTAATCAACTTGCCCGGAATGACACGAGAAGTCACGTGACTGTATGAAGGTAGATGTACTAGCTTACCATAGTTGGTGGCAACAGGCAGGCGCAGCGACATGCTCTGCTGAGGCGGGGCCTGAAGGAAATAGACAGATGGTTATTTAACATGAAGAAAGGTGACGCACAACAGACATCAAAAATACCATTCGGTACCTCTAGATCGAACAACTGCTCGTGATGGACCACTATTGTGACTAAGCATGTCATGTCTGATGAAGACACTGGTACAGATGTATTTTATGGGGTTTTTTTTATAAGACATAAGACATAAAGTCCAGAAGTAGGCATCCCCATTGGCACAAATTGCATTACAATCCTTCATGATCTGTTTGTTTATGCATAGGAGTCAGAATTTCTGCTCGGATTGGCAACATCCGGGAATTTGGCCAAGAAGTCTCCACAAGACTTAGCTTCGCTGCTATATTCCAAAAACCATCTGTATCTGGTGACGAGCTACATGACTACATGTAGTATATATACAATAGACGTGTAGTATTTATAGATACGAAAATGTGCACTTTAATGCGACTGGTAGGAGATGAGAGATTGTTAATCACAATACAGTTGATTATGTACATTGTCATGTACATTTTCGCTGTTGAACGAATGAACAAGCACTGTTTCCCTCCGCATCAATAATGCTGCAGCTACTCACGGCGAGAAATGTCTGGATGTCACAAGATACAAGAAATCCTATTTAGCGTCGGCAATAAGGTAACAATGTAACATTCGACAGTCGCTGAAACACTGATCAATGTGAAATGTATAGCTTATCTCAGCGTCGTGTTCCAAAATATTGAAAGAGTATAAAAATATGATACGGTCCCAACAATGTAAAAATGTCAGACAAACTACAAACACCAGGCCGCCTAATTCAAGGTGATTAGACAATTGCCAAGGATGCGCCGAGTTGGTACCATTTGATTAAACATTTGATTATCCAATGCTTTATCACGCACAAAAAAAGTCATAACGAGTTAATCCTGAAACTCCTCAATATCATATCGTTGAATGGAACGAGGCTTATCGTGCGTAATGGTCTGGGTATTTATGAGAGTGTCAGTGTTTGATTCCTTCAGGACATATTCAAAACACAAGATACAGTGATGTTTTCCATTGTACTGACTTGTGTAGGTCAACGTTCATCGTATCCTGCGGAGGAACCATGAACTAATATGGGGGGCAAAAGAAAGTACACCCATGTTTGATGGTGGCAAAAAATGAAATAAGCAAGAAATTGTGATGTATCCATGGTGATGTACTTGGCAGAGGTATCATAGCTGGGTTTGGGCCTTGTGTTTGCAGTGATTCGTCGATTAGTTTCAGCCAATAACGCTTTGATAACGTTTGTACACTTTTCTGTTGCCCGGAGAATTGAAAAAAAAATTTAAACATTTTTCAACGAGTAGTATACATAAACCTACCTGTAAGCAGTTTCCACGTACAGAGAGGCCTTGGTAAAATGACCCTGTGATGTTTACAATCCCAAGACTATGCCCTACCTTTAGTCACACCATGTTTTCTTTAAGGGAGAGACACGGCGGAGCTGATAAACCTACCAGATGTATATACCTCGGATTTAATTTCTAAACAGTAACATATCATTAAATTTACATTGCATGGTTTCCTCTGATAACAAACTATGGTCTGTAGATTTCTTTCATCGTTGCGAAATCGAACAGAGATATTACTAAGATTGGATGTGAAGCGTATTAGTTGTTGATCACTCATGGATGTCTGTTGGTATACTCTCCCAGTGGGGCATCGTGCGGGATAATTGAAATAGACACGGTAGATGTCATGTATATTTCATGTCACGCTGGGATAGGTTGGGCCGCACTTCATCGGTTCGGATTCATGCCGGGGACAAAATGTTTCTTTTCATGTTTCTAAGAGAATGGTTGTGTCATGGAAGATAAAAAATAAATACAGTTTAACTGGTAATTCGGATGAAACGAACCACAGAATATCCGTTGGTCATTTAGAACTTATTAATATTTTTTGTATCCATTGATAACCGCTTGATGAAAAAAAACCTGTGAATGATATATATAATTATTATATTGTTATATCGGGAATGAGGAACGTCTACGGGAGATATGAACAGTCGAATATTTTTTTCAAATCACCAGTTTATCGAATTGTTTGACGTCTTATAATGAGAAAAATGTCTCATCAGATAAGGTATAGGAACGTCGTCTATATGCCAGCATATTTCCATAACATTTATCTTGGGAGTTAGTGAGTGAGTATAGTTTGACGCCGCTTTGAACAGTATTCCAGAATCATATCACGGCCTATCCGAAGTTATTCAGGTCTCAAACGTTTACCACTTTTGTGAAATCGGGTACAGTGCTGACAAACCTAGAAAGATACTCGGGTCGAAGCGGGATTCGAACCCATGATCATAGGTTTCTGGGGTACAAAAGATACGCAGCTGGACACAGCTAATTGCGGCGCCTTAGACGACTGGGCCGACCGTGCCCCAACCCGTGCTCCCCATGTGTCTTGGAGTGAAATAGACAAAGGCATTGAACACGCCGTCATACCTATGGGAATTCCGGGTGAGAATATAGGCATTCAGCAACCTATGATTGTCGTAAGACTGGGCGTCACATGTACATGGTGTACTCATGTGAAGAGTCGAACCTGGCCACCTTACTGCCTCGAATATTCTGTGATCAGCGGATTCAGTATAAGGAACACTAAGACGCAGTTTGGACATAAAACGTTTCTGCCAGAGAATTGATTGGATATAAACATACCTCGAGACAAACGAGTAACAAGGGGAGACCATAGATACCTTCAACAATAACCAGTAAAAATATATATATATATATATATATATATATATATATATATATATATATATATATATATATATATATATATATATATATATATAATAAAATAATAAAGTCCACGTTAGTCCATCATCTTCTTTATATCAGTTTCATACATAGTACTTTCGCTGTCTCATGACGGCTCTTCAGTGTAACTGACAATGACATATAATGACGTCATACTTTTTCATAAACTGTGAACATTTACCTCATTTTTGTATATATATATATATATATATATATATATATATATATATGTGTGTGTGTGTGTGTGTGTGTGTGTGTGTGTGTGTGTGTGTGTGTGTGTGTACGTGCCGAGAATACACGTATTAAAGCCCTGGGCCTAAAATCAGGTTTATCAACCTTTAGAACCTAGGCCTGGATACTGTAAATATGAAAACACGACTTAAATGCGTCACTTAAAAAAAACAGACCAATGTGTCTTGTTCCTATGGAAGCCCCTCACAGCGATTACATCTTGAGAAAAATTCTTCATTATTCATGTAATACTGCCAGATTACATGTGTTTCGAAACGAGGGGATAACTCGAGATTGATGTAATAACATCAGCTAGGGGCAACCCGATAGTCAGGCCCATGCGATAATCTTGCACTAGACACTCACTTATTACTTAAACCTCTGTAATCCGGACATCACTTGACCCCCTGCCTCCAGCACGTTCACTGATGGTTGCCGCCATTAAAGGGACATTACCAAGCATTCATTAATCCGGACATTTGTCAATAAAGACAATTTCACTGAAACGGAAATTGTTCTACGAAAGATGTCTTATTAAAAAGTGTATGAAGTGTATCAACTAAAGGGTAGACGTAAGCCACTATTATCACAAACACATTTGTATAACGAGAGCCTATTAACCATCAAACCTGATCCAGATTAAGCAGTAAGCACTGACCCATGCTGCTTGGGGCATAACAAATAATATCAGCCTAGTCACCCGATCATGGACGTGTAGCCACTTATAGAAACATCCCAGCAATATCCCGCAATGAGACACACTGTCAGGTATAACACACATTGTATCTATGTGGGGAGCTAACGCGGGTCGTTGCCACTTCAACCACTAGACTACCTGCAGCGATTCATACTTTTTAATTACTCAATCACCGTATCGACGGATACGAAGTGCATGAGAACCTTATAATGTTCTGTCTCGAACAACCCGTTAGGTAGTTAGTCATATATCCTTGTATGGTATGATAGATGACACGGCGTAGATACGTTGTTCCGTCATACGCACAAAGATACAGGTGACATAGCTTGTAAGGATTAGTCAATGAGAACGGCGCTTGGTCTAATGGAACAATGTTCCGCCATACCCACAAAGATCTAGGTGACATAGCTTGTAAGGATTAGTCAATGAGTACGGCGTTTGGTCTACTGGAACAATGTTCCGCCATACACACAAAGATCCAAGTCATAGAGCTAGCAGGGATTAGTCACTGATTTCCGTGTTAGATCTATTGGAGTAAGTGAGTGAATATGGTTTTACGCCGCTTTTAGCAATATTCCAGCAATATCACGGCGGGGGACACCAGAAATGGGCTTCACACATTGTACCCATGTCGGGAATCGAACCCGGGTCTTCAGCGTGACGAGCGAACGCTTTAACCACTAGGCTACCCGACCGCCTCTAGATTATATTGGAACAGTGTTTAGTCACATCACGGCGGGGACACCAACATTGGGTGTCACTCATCGTATCCATATGGCGAATGGAACACGGTAGTTCGGCGAGACGAACCATAGCTTAAACCACTGGGCTACCCTGTCGTCCCCTAACGTTGTTAGAACACGCTATACATTACACTTAGTTGAACCAGCTCACTCGTGCTCCAGAGGATGTAATGTGACACTAAAGCAGTGCGAATCTAAATGTTTGTTATCTGGATGTGGTAGAGTCAACAAGACTAAGTGGGCCATCAATAGCTCGTGGCATACACATTAAATCACTTTCAACACATCTCCCACTTGCATGGGATTTAAAGATCAGTCGAGATAAATTTAATTTCAGGGTTGACCAAGGAACGGATTCATGTCAGATTTGTTCGATATTTCCACATGCTTTGAAGCACTTAATGCTCCCTGTGATGTCAAAGATAAAAAAAACATTATCTGATTTGGCATTTTGTGCAAACGATCGCCATCTTTCGTGTTGTATTGGTATAATCTGTCTGGCAGGAACTTTCAATGTCCCTGGCATGTGCTATAACGATTGAACTGCGTTTCTGGTCGTGACACAGAAATATTGTAATCACTGCATGCAGTAAAAAATTCTCCAGGGATAGTTGTGTGAATTACCACAATATCTGACCCTGACCCGCCCCGATTATGACCCACGGATTTACAGCATCCTACCCGTGGGTAAACATTTACAGCATCCTACCCGTGGGTAAACATTTACAGCATCCTACCCGTGGGTTAACATTTACAGCATCCTACCCGTGGGTAAACATTTACAGCATCCTACCCGTGGGTAAACATTTACAGCATCCTACCCGTGGGTAAACATTTACAGCATCCTACCCGTGGGTAAACATTTACAGCATCCTACCCGTGGGTAAACATTTACAGCATCCTACCCGTGGGTAAACATTTACAGCATCCTACCCGTGGGTAAACATTTACAGCATCCTACCCGTGGGTAAACATTTACAGCATCCGTTCCTAGTGGCTCTTCTTATTCCGACCCTCTGTGGTTTTGATGCGTGAGTGAATGCTGTTTACCATACAATCAGCAATGTTCTGCTACATAAAGAATAATAATCTTAATAACAAAATGATAATAATCAACTCTGGGTCGAGTAAACAAATGACTAAAGACATGAGCAACGAGCCATGCTATCTAGTTGCAGAACCATCGCACCATAACAGTACGTACGTATTACGATTGTGTCACACCATGTGTCTGGGTACAACCAAGTACTATTGTGTTAGAGCGTGTGTTTGGATACAGTACAGTACGATTGTGTGAGAGCGTGTGTCTGGACACAAAACAGTACTATGGTTTTAGAGCGTGTGTTTGGATACAACACAGTACGATTGTGTGAGAACGTGTGTCTGGATACAGCACATAACGATTTTGTGAGAGCGTGTGTCTGGATACAACACAGTACGATTGTGTGAGAGCGTGTGTCTGGATACAACACAGTACGATTGATGTCCACTACTTGTCCTTGTATACCATTGAGAGAAAGCGTAAATTATTTCACAGAACACAATGTGTTTTTTGTTTGTTTTCTTTTCTTTGTTTTGTATTTTTTTTAATTTTTTTTTTTTTTTTTTTTTAGGGGGGGGGGATGATTGACAGTGGATCAACCACCACATCGAAATATCATAATAAGCAGTCGTACCATAACAGTACGTACGTATTACGATTGTGTCATCCCATGTGTCTGGGTACAGCCCAGTACGATTGTGTGAGAGCGTGTGTTTGGAAACAACACAGTACGATCTTGTACGATTGTGTGAGAGCGTGTGTCTGGATACAACACAGTACGATTGTCACAGCATGTGTCTGGGCAAAACACAGTACAATTTTGTTAGAACGTGTGTCTGGATACAACACAGTACGATTGTGTGAGAGCGTGTGTCTGGATACAACACACTACGATTGTCACAGCATGTGTCTGGGCACAACACAGTGCGATTGTGTTAGAGAGCGTGTCTGTTAACAACGTGGTACGATTGTGTTAACGCTTTGCTGTTTACACACCAGATTACCATATATAGTTGTGGACTCAGTGCCTCCTCCGACGAACAATATTTGTGACGCTAGAATCTAAGTACAACCACGTACGATTAAACAGAGTATGGGTTTTAGTGAAGTGACGTGCGAATATGGTAGCCGCCCCGCTGATCGGGACTCTGACCTACATGTCAAGGTCATTGCTACGCATCAGTGATTACAAGGAAGGAAAGACACGTTGTGGTGAAATGCTGCTGTTGAACAGAGATACCCACTCAGACACCATATACTGACTCCGAGCCGACCAGTCCTCGTTTTATACCCTTAATGCCGAGCGCCAGGCGGGGCAACAACAAGCACCATCTTCACGCATTTTGGTATTACGGGGCCGGGGATCGACAGAGAGAAGAAAGCAATAAATGAAGGAAATGAATGAGAGAGTATACTCTTCTAATTAATCATTTGTAATAATCATCAAATTGTATTTCAGGTGCAGTGACAGTTCGACCACTTACCCCATGTACTGCGATCGGTTCAGGGATCTTGATGGAGAAATTCTTCATGTCTGAGCTACTTACGCTTATTCACCATAGTCGTCACAGAACACTTTGAGGAGTATCAATCTCACAAATGATTCACCTGACCCGCTATCGTTTCAATATTACGGACAAAAAGTGCTATCTGTTCATATCGCAAACTGTATCCGTGGGAATCTCTTAACGATATAGTCCAGTATCCCTCGTTGAATGGCACGAAGATTAATGTCAGACGTAAGCAGACGACAACTCCACCAGAAGATTTAGGGATTTGGCGGGAAACCACGTCGGCGGGCGATATGGAGCCGGGTCGCAAAACAAACAATGGTTAATATATATAAGTCTCTACCATCCATGTAGACTGGTAATCGTCAAACAATGGTTTGCCTTACAGGTGTCGTCTGTCAACGGTAAGGCTATACCATGGGTTAATGCTCTTTAACGCTTGCCAACAGCCTAGATATAACCCACGCACTTGTTGGCATGTCGACATGTATTTTTTACTAGATGTCAATTCGGATTATTGGAAAGTCATTTTTTTCACAAAGACGTCCAATCTCAGTTTGAGTCCTGTGTTCAACGTCTGATTAAATAACACTGTATTGTCTCTCAAAGGCACACAGGGGGCGCTTTTGTGAGACAGCGTTCACCGGAAGCCGTCTGCTGTCAACAAAGCTTGCAATAATGTCCAGAATAGTTGCGTCGTCACACATAAGAAAATCCTTAGCGATATGTCCAAGATATGCTTCCCGATCGACCACCTCCTGGACAAAGTGTTTGCTATCTGACTTTTTTTCTTCGACTGAAGGAAAGCCTTAAGCTGATTGATACAAAGAATGCCGGTGACTCCATGGTCTATTCTAGACGAAGTCAGCGTTCTAAGTCCTCTGACTTTCTGCTTGATAAATGTTTGATGTTATCTCCGGCCCTAACTGCATTCGGCACGTCAACATATTCTGGTAAAAGACCAAGCACATCGGCTAAAAGACCCCTAACGGTCTTAATCTGGACAACGATCGCTTCAATTGTAGCCACACTAGATGGGCCGAATCGATATCGACCTAATGTCGTAACGGCAGAACACGGAGCAACGTCACGCCAAACTGGAGTCTTTGTGATCATTTCAACAAGATACAGGGTAGTGATGTTATCATAACAGGCAGTGAGACGGGCGGTTACTTTTTATACACTATTGTCTGTTATTGTTGAATATTGTGTTGATTTGTGACATACTGGTTTCCACGAAAACAACAAATCCTACGTCCCAGTTTGTTTACTTTTCTATGGTAGCTTGCTTCTAAGGGGGCTGTGGGCTAGGTCAGTGGGTTAACTTTTACTCGCAACGCCAAAGACTCGGGTTCGATTCTCAGTGTGTGTACATTACGCAAAGCCACCCCCGTTATGCTGCTGGAATATTTCTTGTAGGGGTTAAAAACAATACTGGTCTTTCTTAGACTGTGTAAGAGTTGGCGTTAACGCCTAGAAAATATCCCTATATAAGAGTGAGTGAGTGGGTAACGCCACTTTGAACAGTATTCCACTTAATACACGGCGTGTCAGGTGAGTGTGGGACGAGAGCCAGAAGTGATGGCCCTAGACCTTTACCACTCTTGTGAAACCCACGAGTATGGGTATGGTGCTGACAAACCTAGAAACATGAACCGGGATTCCAACCATTAGCGTGCTTCTGGCTTTGCCCAAGGGACGCAACTCTGCACAGCGATTAACGGCCCGACGCTTCAGACAACTGTGTCACTCGTCCCCTCCCTATACTCCTACGACAAGGCTGTAAATGCATTTGCAGAAATGTATAGCTTTTCTCGAGGTGTGGTGAACTTTGCACGTGTGTGTGTCTGTACTTGTTAGGACTAATGGGGGTTTCATTGTGCTAGTCCACTGAGATGCCGTGCCGTGGACATTCAGACACCGTATACTAACCCCGAGCCGACCAGTCCTTGTTTTAGTCCCATAATGCCGAGCGCCAGGCAGGGTAATATAAAGTACCATCTTTTAACGTCTTTTTGAATGACGCGGCCGTGGATCGAACAACCAAGCATTCGCTCCCAGCCAGACATCCTATCCACCAGATCACGAAGACGGTACCTTATTTGAAGAATAATACAGACAAATGACTGTTTAGACCAAAACTGATCGCCAATTCAAATGAAAAGAAATGTTTTGTGAAACAGTTTTCATAGCTACCGAGAACAACATGCCCGCAGTTTGTCGTGTTAAATGCACAGGACAACGATTTGCATAAATATGTGTGTCTAACATTTGTGCCGAGTTAGCAAATGATTGTTTTTTAACACGGTAGTCGGAAATAAACGATATTAGTAACAGCTAGGCCATACAGACTATGCAGTCGCACAGTCAGGTCACCCGTATATTTCAGTCAACGTCTACTGGCGGTGGAAAACAAAACCTAGTTCCACTGTACGAAAATGACAAATGAAAGTATATACCCATGTTTGACGGTGGCTTGAAATGAAACAAATAGGAAATGGTTATTCGAAGGGGATGTTTTGATACGTGTATCAGAGTTGTTCTTTGGATCTTAAGTTTGCAGTGTTTGGGATACTGTTTTCAGCCTTGTAACGTTTTGTAATTTGTTGGTCAAATTCAGTTTTCAAGTGCATACTTTGTCCTGCCCGGTAGTTGATTACATTCACTTTAAGAATAGGTGTATTCTATATAGTTTTACACTTCAGAAAATGTATACGATGTATTCTCATTGACTGAACTCTCTGTTTATAACACAGACGAAAACCATTAGTTTACACTGCACATAGTGCAATTATTCAAAGTAGTAGTTAAAGCGTTGGTTCCCGCCTATGCTCCTGGTCTCGAGGTGCGGTGGGGTAGCCTAGTAGTTAAAGCGTTGGTTCCCGCCTAGGCTCCTGGTCTCGAGGTGCGGTGGGGTAGCCTAGTAGTTAAAGCGTTGGTTCCCGCCTAGGTTCCTGGTCTCGAGGTGCGGTGGGGTAGCCTAGTGGTTAAAGCGTTGGTTCCCGCCTAGGCTCCTGGTCTCGAGGTGCGGTGGGGTAGCCTAGTGGTTAAAGCGTTGGTTCCCGCCTAGGCTCCTGGTCTCGAGGTGCGTTGGGGTAGCCTAGTGGTTAAAGCGTTGGTTCCCGCCTAGGCTCCTGGTCTCGAGGTGCGTTGGGGTAGCCTAGTGGTTAAAGCGTTGGTTCCCGCCTAGGCTCCTGGTCTCGAGGTGTGGTGGGATAGCCTAGTGGTTAAAGCGTTGGTTCCCGCCTAGGCACCTGGTCTCGAGGTGTGGTGGGATAACCTAGTGGTTAAAGCGTTGGTTCCCGCCTAGGCTCCTGGTCTCGAGGTGCGGTGGGATAGCCTAGTGGTTAAAGCGTTGGTTCCCGCCTAGGCTCCTGGTCTCGAGGTGTGGTGGGATAGCCTAGTGGTTAAAGCGTTGGTTCCCGCCTAGGCACCTGGTCTCGAGGTGTGGTGGGATAACCTAGTGGTTAAAGCGTTGGTTCCCGCCTAGGCTCCTGGTCTCGAGGTGCGGTGGGGTAGCCTAGTGGTTTAAGCGTTGGTTCCCGCCTAGGCTCCTGGTCTCGAGGTGTGGTGGGATAACCTAGTGGTTAAAGCGTTGGTTCCCGCCTAGGCTCCTGGTCTCGAGGTGCGGTGGGGTAGCCTAGTGGTTTAAGCGTTGGTTCCCGCCTAGGCTCCTGGTCTCGAGGTGTGGTGGGATAACCTAGTGGTTAAAGCGTTGGTTCCCGCCTAGGCACCTGGTCTCGAGGTGTGGTGGGATAGCCTAGTGGTTTAAGCGTTGGTTCCCGCCTAGGCTCCTGGTCTCGAGGTGTGGTGGGATAGCCTAGTGGTTAAAGCGTTCGCTCGTCACGCCGAATACCCGGGTTCCATTCCCCCCATGGGTACAATGCGTGAAGCCTATTTCTGGTGACATTGCTGGAATATTGGTAACATCGGCGTCAAACCATACTCCCTCACTCACTCCTGGTGTCCATATGGGCACTCCTGATGCCCCATTCTGTGCTGTGACTGAAATATTGCCGACATCCTGCAAGTCAATCTCTGTCACGAACCCACGAAAACATATTCAACATTCAACACAGGTAGACATCTATTCAATTATATGACATACTTGCAAACACATACATCTAATTGCAAGGACAGTTTCACAAACCTTTCTGCCAGAACTGTATGTGGTGTGCTCTGATTTCTGGCCCTTCACACAACAAGCCGTGCCGCGTCCCCTATTGTGACACCTATTCAATTAACACTTAGAGCGTCATGGTCCACAAAGAAAGGAGGGCAAGCAGACAGACATCAGGGCAATGATAGCAAGACCACATGTCACTATTCCCTGTAATTGCTGTTTACCAAGGGGCATATTTTCATCTGGTGTCACTCCCGAATAGAAGAATATTTATTGCTCGAGGATCGGTATTCTTGTGTGTTATTTGCGCTCTTTATTATATATCATTGCACTAACATTGGAGTCTATGTGTATTAGTCCGATGTGTTTTGTGATGTGATACTAGATATATGTGCTGCTTGGCCTAGCCGTGTGAAATTGAAATTGGGTTGTGTGTTTATACAACGTTAGTAGGACTAAAAGTTTTGTGAGGTTATTTAATTACGCTTTACCGTGGATATAGTTGAGATGGAGGACACCCATGTCATAAAATATATAATTGGGCAAAATAGTTCCAACCAAAACCAGATATTCCCATGCAGGAAATACATATCCCCCCTTCCTCAATACCAAGGTTCAGTGAAGAGTGTCTGTCCAGAGCGGAAGGTCGATCTCCTGGCCGCGTCACACCTGGCGTTCGGCATCAACGGGATAAAACAAAAGGTGGTGGGTTCGGAGTCAGTATACTGTGGCTGAGTGGTGTATCATGTGTATCAAAATGTTGCATGGTATCTCATAGGGCAAGTAGATATACGCACGCACGCACGCACGCACGCACGCACGCACGCACGCGCGCATATGCACGTCTCAATATCAGTTCAATAATCTTGCACTCGACATTAAACCCCGCCTCACCTCACCTCACCTCACCTCACCTCACCTCACCTCGCGCTCACCTCACCTCACTGACGTCGAAAAGTACCACGTTGATAGGGGCGTGGCGGCTGGGTAGCCTGCTGGAAGTGTTGGCTCGCCACAACGATGGCCCCCGATCCCTATCGATTCTCCACTTGAGTACAACTTGTGAAGCCCAGTGCTTGTATATTGCTGGAATATTGCTACACTTTGCTTACAACTTTACTCACTCTATATTATGGCTTTGCAGTGCCTATGGTGTTTACGTCGTCAACTTATCAATAACAACGCCCCACTCCTTCATGTAAGTGTCTATGTTCACACTTACCGACGATGGGCGTAGCGGGGCCTGCCTGGTTAGGACAGAGGCAGGTCTGACGCGCCTGATGATGTCCGACTGCGTCTCGCTGATGTCGTTGACAACATCGTCGGTGTCATCCTCGTCAAGTGGTGCTGCGTCTGGGATAACCACCTTGATCTCAACTGGCATAATGATGCATTATATATAACACTAATTGTCCAGCAGGTCACACTACATTGCTACAATCTACATACGTTGATTGTATGTTGTATGTTGTATGCCGATAGGTTGTGTTGAAATGTGATGGAAGCATGGTTCCTTGTCTGTCACTCAGGGCGCACAGGATCAATCGTGTCACCTCTGTATTTCGTCGTGGTGTGCTTGAAGATCTTGTCACGATGGTCTTAACTAATGATACTGATCCACCGAACACTGCTACTTTCTATTGATCTTTAGAGGCTGCATCTCGTTCCGATGACCATTGTTTATGACCTTGGAGATAATCCAATA